CCAATTTTAATCCATTTTATTTGCATCATCCCTTAAACAGTAAATAAACTCACGCGTACCATTTAATTTCAATGCATTTCAATCACAATTCTCTCATTTCCCATGTTTAAGTAGAAGTTCCAGCGCGATTCAAATTAAGTGTTGTTCATGTTATTTTCTATCGTGCTCTTCCATCGAATGTGGGTAATGGTTTCTCTTTTTTTTTTGCTTTAGAAGTTGTTTTTGACGTTTTGGTGAATCAAATGTATTTGAAAGCTTTTAATAAAACAATTGAAACCTACATTGAAATGAGTATTTTTTTTACATAAAAAAGATTCCTTTGTAATGAAAGCCAACATCAACAGAAAAATAAATGAGCTCGCTTTTGTGCAACGATGATGTTCACTTTGTAACAAACTTTAAATGCCTTTACAGTTAAACTTCTTATATATTTTTTTCCCATTCTCGTTCTATTGTTGCCGTGTAGCATTTGTTGCCATTTAACGCTTGTACCGAAAAATAAGTTAAAATCACTTTTTGCTCGTCGCTTGGAATGCTATTTATTTTAACTTTAGCACGATTCACCGATTAAGGTTACCTTAGAACGCGAACACACATACACACATCTGGGCGAATGTGAATGGCGAATGCAAACAAAAGAGAATTATTTTACACCGTTGTTAGACGGTTTCCATCAAGTGGCATTTTATTGCGAAGCGTTGTCATCATCAGAAGAAAAGCTGTAAAATGAGCACATACAAGAATTTTTCTCATTCTCTTGCCGTATCGCTTTGCACGTTGAATAGTTGGATGTGTGTGGGTGATGTATGAGTTAAATCATTTCATGTTTTATTTAAGTATCCATCTGAATTTTCGTATCTTATGTTTTCATTCGAATCATAAAATTCAACCATTAGCTATGGGAATATGGGCACATGTGACGTATACAAAGAAAACGCACAATGCACAAACTGTCGTTACAGATTTTCGTTAACGGTGATGAATCTAGCTCGTACTCACTTTTCACCGTGTGCTATTTTACTGTTAGAACAAAAGCGATGTGCATAAAGCCGACGAGAAGGCGATAGAGTACATAGAAATAGAAAAGGAGAACGTGCTAGTGGCGGTGACGGTGACGGCTTATGTGGTTGCCATTTGATTGTAACAAACAAATGCGCTACGAATAATAATTTATTGTTTATACTTGGGAAATATAAGCGGAAATATAATGGCCCAGTCAAAAGACAATGTCACCAGAAGTGTCAACCGAGCAAATGACAGCAAGAAATTCTTTTTCTTCACCATCAACATAGCTTATTACACGATGGGCAAAATGGATGCAATGTTTGTTGATTATCATATTTAACATTGGATGTTGTTGTTGATCTTATGACAAATATATTTTATTTTTGGTCCTTTTTTGTACACGGTGATATATTTCATAAATACGAATCACTCGACTTCGGCATGATTTTATTATTTATGGATTCGACGGTTCCATATTGGAAATGTTGTGTTTTCACGCTCATACTCACTCGTTACCTCATTTCAACTTCACACTTTTCAATGACGAATAACATTCGGGACATATACAGAAACATGCTTCTGCTCATATTCTTTTTTATCTGCCGTGACGTGTAATCTACGAGCAATATCCCTTTCATTTCGATGCCACGACTGTCATGTGATACATGATATCCATATGCATTCACATCATCACTTCGCATCGGTATTTCGCTTTTCATGAAAATCAAATTATCTACCCGTACAACTCAAGAGAAAACACAATCTCCTTTGCTTCGATGCGTTGAGCTATGATGACGGTATTCCAATGTGAATCTTCAACGGGAACAATTCTCATGAAGCCTTATCAACAATCGGTGGCGGCCGATCTGCTCTTATTTTATATATTCGATAAATGTTGAGTTATATGTTGTTGCGAACGAATGCAATGCGAATAACCTAGCGAATAACTTCCGCAAAGATTTATGACATAAAATATGAAAGAACTTGTCTTACACGTATGTGCGGTTGTAGATATCGTACAGTGGTCACGGTTACTTCTTGATGTATTTGCTGCGTTGCTTTGTAATATTCCACCAACAACAATAGTAACAAACGGAAAGAAAACGAAAACCGAACCAGTTACGATGGTTGCACAAACATCACATTAACTTTTATGGTACGCATAACATTTCGTTTATTCTTCGTTTTGATAAGAATGAAATAAGTAAAAAGATAGGCATCTTTACGGTCGCAACCTTCGGTGTTTACGACTTTTTTCGCACTCTTTCAATATTTCGCCATCTTCGCATTGCGTTAATAAGTTATAGATCTTTGATTCACAAAACGAATTAAATATCTCTTTCGTACACTCTTTACGCTCTCCATTCGCCCTATTTTCCTATTCTCATTCTTTATCGCCAGCAACAGCAGCAGCAAAGTACATCATCAAATTTGTTTTTCACATAAACGTATTATATGTAGTTCATATCTACGTCTTGTAAATCAAAACAGCACCATTCCTTTTTTCTATGCCCGGTTTTATTGGGTCAATAATGACTTGGACATAAACGAAAGCATAATTTGACTTTTTATTTGCATTCATTAAAACAGTTTTGCTTTTATTTTGCTATATGTTATTAAATTGCGGATCTTCTATTTCCAATTTAAATGTACGATTGCAAACACTTCTGTTGTACAAACTGAGCTCAATGCAAACGTATATTTCATGCAAAAATCCGGACAAAGAGAACGGGGAACAAGATGAAGATGGAGAAAGAAAAAAATGTGGTCGATTACAGTTTCATTTTATTGGTATGATTGGGATGTTTGTATTAAAATAGAAAAAAAAAATTCTCCATTTGAATAAAAATGTGAAAATCCTGTTAACCGATTTGATTCTTGTCGGTTTTGTTTGTCATTTTCTTTTGTTTTACAACCTAAAAGACGGTTTTTTTATTCAAATGAAAAAAGGCTTAAACTGTTGACATGCAATGATGGTGAGATTGGCCATATGTATTTTAATCAAAAAACCAAAATCTCAATAAATTCACATCAAATCCAATCATTTACTGTATTAAAATATTTATTCATGCTTTGCATGTAACCACATTGCTTACAAAATTCGCATTCTTTTTCCCATTCCACATCCATGTCATATTCTATCTTACCAAGTGTAAATCACATCGATCTGTTCGTTTGACTGTGTTCATCGATAGTGATTTCGATTTATTCGCATGGAAAAATGTCGAAAGATAATAATGTCGAAGCATCGGACTTTTAATAAAATTACCAAACGAGAAAAAAACTACTGCTGTGAATTCCTTTTAGTCAAAAAGGAAATCAAACAATATCCGGTCTATTTTATTAGCTCTATCTCACTTGCCCGATTCATTCAACTAACTGAGACGTTCGTTGTTTTTGCGTGGGTCCTTCAATCTGGATAAAGTTTTCTTCTTCTTTTTCTTTCACATGTCGTTGCGTTTTTTGCGTGTATCATTTTGAAACAAATGTGATTCTTCTTCGCTTATGGCGTGTGTATGCTTGATTCGATTACATGGGGAGGGGTGGATTGAGCATTCATAAAAATGTACTCTTCTGAATGCGTAAACCTAGCGAAGCGGAAAAGTCTTCATAGCCGTTTTATACAATTTTATATCGTAAAGCTTGTTTTCATCAGTGAACTTTTTTTTGCTTCTCTTTGCTCGGTGTCTCCTGTTTGGACGGGAATGTGATACGGAAATGGAAAAAAGATGAAAAAGAAAAGATTCAACTTTGTTGAGCATGGTATGGTACAAGGCAAAGTCATTGTGTATGTGTTTGACATTGTAAAGCGATTTTAGGTGGTTTTCGCAAACAAATGTCTTTGCAGCGCTCAGTTTATCTATGACATATACACAAAAAAAATATATGTATATACCAGATGAAAATATTGTCCTCATTTGTTACATTGAATCCAACCAAAATCGATGGATAGTAAACGAGGGATGATGATAATGATATATCCTGCTTCTCAAACCGTAAAAAGATGTTGTTTTTTTGCCGCTTTAAATTATCTTTTCTCGCTTTGAATTTATTTAAGAGGCAATTTTTTTTTCGTCTCTGACATGATTTTGATGCAGCATGAACTATATACAATTCAACTTGAGTTCAGAACAACGTAATTCAGAACTTTTTCGAGTCACAAGCACCGACAAAAAATCTCGAAGAATTATAATAGAATATAACAAGTGCCATTGTTGAGAAACCTTGATTTTTCGTACAAATTGTCGCCGTTTCTCACAATCCCACGCTGTTCTATTCAATTCATCGAATCCATATGATGCGTGGTTTTACAGTCACCATAACAAGCATTATGTAGCCCGGAAATGATTCTTGTTGAATTTTGAATTGTCCCCACAAGTTTTGCAAGCAGTGAACAGGATATCACGTTTCTTTTTCTGGTTGAAAACGGACGGAAATCATTGAAAACCTGCAGCACAGTGCTCAAAATCATCGATCACAATGAATTATTAACGATTCAAGAGTAAACACGACCCGTAAATTATATATGAGAAATTGTTACAATAAAATCCCATCTGTTGCCATACGAGTCACTATAATATTGCGTATATTACACACACACAAGAACACACCCAGTTAAATTTCGCTTGAAGGATATGGGGCGTAAGTAGATTTATGAAGGTTTTGCAACACTTTTTAATGTTCGTCGTACACATTTTGCTATATATAATTGAAAGTAATGATGAGATGGAAAGATCGTGTAAATTGCTTTGACTCATTCGCAAGGTGTCACATTTATGTGAAAATCATTCAAATAACTATGTGACAATTTCAACAGTTAGTCTTTCATGAACAAATCCGACAATGTCAATTAAATGGATATATTTTTTTGGTTTCACCCCTCGTTCGATGTCTCCCACCACTTTCAAAACATAAATTATTCATGGAAAACACTTGTACCTTACATTCAGTCGTTTGATGTGTGTCAATAGGTGTCATTAAATAAACCGTAATACTAATTTGCATTGGTTTGTTTATTTACCGATTGCAATAATAATTATAATTCATTATTAATATTAATGGGGAATTGATAGAAAACAACAGAATTGTAATTTAACATTTATCGACTTGTGGTCGGAAGTGTCTTTGTAGTTTGTTGGCTTTGACACCCAATTTCTGGCTCCATTTTTGATATTGTCGTTTCATATGATGAATATCACGGGCCTTCTTTGCAGCGGCCGCTTGTTGTGTGGTTGTCCAACCGAGCGCACGATATTCGGACAAAACTTTGTGTAATTTTTTATTCTTCGGAACTAAGGCACGATTTGGATTCAGTCGCTGTTTGTAGTATTTCAGTAACGATCGATGTCCAATCACTGCACCTGATGGCAATACCAATTGATATTCGTCACCTTCCAATACTTCTGCAGCTACTTCAGTGTCAACATCCATTCCATCTTCCTGTAAATATAAATTAATGTCAAATAAACATCATATCAATCATGAAAAAAGGGAATTTTCAATTTTTGAAGAGAATGACGTAAAAGAAATATCACTATGGTCTTACATGATCTGGATAACTAGAACTATAATCATAGAAATCGGCGTATTCGGCTAATGCCAGACCTTCATGCAACATGCGACAGTGTCCTTTGTCTTTCATATGTTTGCGAACCGCATCCAATGAATAAAATGTTCGTCCTCTATCGTTGCACCATAAGCAAATAAAATCTGAAAAGTGGACAAGCTATTATTGAATATCAAATTGAAATAAATGATCATTGGATTTTACCTCTTGCAACTTTTTCACCCAAATACATCAACAATCCGTCCAAATCTGTGATGAACTCTGTGTCTGGTATAAAGAACGAGTGCACTGATGACATGTGTTTCACATTTTCAACCATATCTTCACTGTGTTCGCCGCAGAATATGCAATCGTTGTTGGCAATGGGATTTTCAAAGTCATCGTCCCATTCATCGGAATCGACTTCTTCCACTTCCATGTCATCTTCATCATCATCATCATCCTCCTCGACTTTGTTAGCGACTGTATTTTCTTCTTTCTTTTGTGCTTGTATCATTGGAATATCGGCTTGGCCGCCCAAATTCTGTCCCTTCTTTTCAGCAATTTGAACATTTTCCTTGTGTTTTTTGCTATTCAAATGATTCTGATGCGATTTTTCCGATATGAATTGCTTACGACACACACCACAATACAATGTAACCTCTTGTTGTGCCAATTCATCAGATGCACGCTGTTGCAAAACACGCTTTTGAAAGTCTTCAGCTGTAATTGGTGGCAGATCAGCGACTCGTCGCTTCAAATTGTATCGATGCCAATCCGTTTTGTAATGCTCACGCTGAATGTCAGCATTTTGAAAACGAACATTACAATTTAAACACGTAGGTGCCGACATATTATTGTATAACGTTGTGAAATTCACAATCAACTTCAATATTTACGCAAAATAAAAACTCTCTGTTAGTTGAATCACACGTTTTTTCCGTTGACAGATATGAACAACGAAGAGATTGACAATCAGATTTCGGATTGCCCGATGTTTAAACCGTTTCAGTTTGACATTAAGTGTCACAAAATCGTGCACAATTTTTCGGGACATGACAAATCATACACAAAACAAACTTTTCATCGAGATATGGTTTTTTAAAGTTAATTTTCTCACGTTTTAATGATGGATAAAAAGCAAAAGAAGTATTTTATTGTTTAAAGTATGATTAAGTTGGAATATTTAATGAAATATCAATTGCTTTCTTTGTAGAGGTTCGTCGAAAAATGCAAAGCCCGCCAAAAAAAATGCCGTCGAGGAGAAAACAGTGCGACCACAACCGAAGGCAACCAAATCATCATACGACTTGCCGGCTGTGATCAGTAAAGACACACTTTTACTTGATTATGACTACAATAAACAGTATTCAAAACGGAATGTGGTAAGCAATTGGGATAGATACGCTGATATTCGGGACGATGACGATGATGACAATGGACAATTATCTGCTGCCGACTTTGAACAACTCTTATCTGCATCCAAATCAATTGGTGATCATTTTACATTTTCCGCTGAACGAACGTGGTTGCAGTCTGTCGATGCCAATCAAACTGATGAGAATTCAATGGCATCGGATTTATTTAAATTGAACATTTCGAATTTAAAGAATGGCATCAGTCGATTACCGTTTTACAAGAGGCAAGATTTGTCTCAAGATATATTTACAAATGAAGAAATCACCAATTTGAACCATAGAGCTAAATTCTTTGATAAGAACGAAAGCAATCGAAAAGTATCGACAGACAATCAACTCATTAATAATCCGACGAAGAAAATTGTGGAAAAATCGCCAATTGAAAGTGATTTGGTGCACTCTTTGCAGAAAACAGAGCTTAGTGATAAACCTATGGATACAGCATCTCTTCCCACAACATCGGCTAGTAGCAGTGTGGCTCCACTGCCAGTCAAACCACCCAAGATTAAATCAAATAAAACTGAAGACATTCAAGATTGGCTAGATGATATTTTAAATGAAAGTTAATATTTGTTCAATTGTAAAATGCTTTTTATATATTAAATCTATACGTGAGTTTTATTAACAAATTTTCGTGTTTTACATTCTATAGGATATATCCATGTACATATATTTGAGAGTTATTTTTGTTTATTATTATTATTGTTCGTCTTTCATGTTGATTTTGTAAATACAGATGTTCCATAACTCTGTAATAAATCTTACTACCACAGATTTCTTAACTCAAGAAGAGTAAGTAGAAGGACCCACAGTCTACAGCTTGTAGCCATGGGAGATTTTCGGGTCAACATTTTCGATGTTAGATTTGAACGGAAAACATTATGAGCATATATTTTTTTACATTAAGCCAAACAATCATCGGATCATTACGTTAGTGTATGATTTATGATGTATACTTCGATTGATGCACGATGGAGTTATTGATACGAAAACGGCGCAATATTTTTCTGTTTCAAAGAAATTCGACTTAGCAGAAGTTATTTTTACTCAGATCATAATTGTTGCATTCGTTTTCAATTCTGAGAAATCAATAAGTCGGATACCTACGTTCAATTTTAATAATATTCTCAATTTCAATATTTATTAAATTCATAGTCTAGGGCATATTGCATACCTATTCATATTTCTCTCCCAAACAATTTAAATTCTGCGATTTAATCCATGTATGCAAGCAAAGAGTGTGAAATTAGAGTGAAATAGACTGTTTTTTTAAGTATTTGAATAAAAGTTACAAATATTTAAATCGTGATGATGATGGTAAAGCCGATTAAAAAATGAAGTACAAAACAAATAAAAACGAGGATTATTTTTTGTATGATTTTTTTTATTTATCTGGCAAGTCTTATAATTCAGTTTGTTTTATTTCTCATATAATTTATACACGTACAATATTACCAATTCTTTTCAAAACAAAAAATTAATACAGTTGGTTTTTCTTTCCATTACTATTCAGTTGTGTGTTTTTTTATAATAATCATAATAATAATCAGTAAAATTTATCTAAATTAATGCCATATATCATGTACAAATGAAAATTTCTCTAAAAAAAGATCGGGTTGATTCATATAACTAAATGTAAATTAAACACAAAATCACTTAATCTATCAAATAAATCTGTTCACCAATCGAAAGTGTATGTGTGTGTGTGTTTTGTTTTAGTCGACGATATATATGATTTGAAAAACCGAAATTGGAGAATCTGAATCGCATAGTTTTGCTTTAGATATGCATAATAGACGCGTGATGTACAATGACCCGGAAAATCACATGAATCTAACGCGTGCATATAATATACAAAGTATATCAATATGAAACATGCACAAAGATAGTATATCTTTCCATCTATGGTTGTGGGTGTGATACATGAATGTATGGAGCTCATTTTGAACTTAAAACCGATAACAGCCCATTATAGTTTCTAACGTATTATAATACGCTAATGCAAAACAGTGCGAAATAGATCTCATTAGCTGCATTCAGTTAGAAAAACGGTAGAATTGAATTTCGAACGAATTCAATGAGGAAAAATCATTTTCCAGTCTATTGGATACTTTAAATTTTGTAATTGGATTTATCTTTATTTCTGTTTGGAATAATCAAAATGAAAATCGTCTAAATACTACGTTTTTTGTTAAATTTCTTTGTTTTCTTTTTTTTTTTTTTTTTAAACAACAGCATAATTTTGTGTTTCTTTCGAAAAACGCAACAGCACACACTTAAATATAGACCAATGAAATAAAATTCAAATTTATTCGATATTTTTCTTCCTTTTTCCACCAATCTGTCGTACTTAGTCCATAAATATGCTGAATAAATGGGCTGGGGGAGAGAAATTGCATCGTATTGCTTCGAAACTAGCAATTTAAGGTTGAGGTCTCATTTCGTTTTATTTATTCATTTTTTTTTTCATAAAAATTTGTATCTTATTTAATGCGTGTGTTCATATTTTTTATGTTGCATGTTTTTCCGATGGATAATAGTGTGTTGGTGGTGATGGTGGTGGTTTAGAGAATCAAAACGGTTGTCGGCAGATCAAAATAAAACAATATATATAATATAATGTGTTTCTGTTCAGTTTTGTTTTCATTTTCTTCATATAAATGTAGAAGCTATATTTGCCCATTATAAAGGGGTTTCCTACATCATTTACGCTCACCATGATTCATATTACAATTTTAGTATGCTTACATCCTACAGTACATTTCCTTGTTGTTATGTCTTTATCGTAATTATTGTTGTTGCTGATTCATTTGCTGTTATTTCATTGTGTGTGTGTGTGTTCTTTTTTCTTGTTTTCTCTTTAATATTCCACTTTCATACATATTACAACTATAAATACACTTGCGTCTAACTCTTAGTCCATATTATTTATCATTAATTTCATACACCTTGTGTGAAATGTTATTATCAGTAGTAGTAGTTGGTAGCTAAATGATTCATTCTATATATATATATATATGTATATATTACTCGCGTCTATATTTTTGTAGTTTGAGTAACAAAAATCATCGTTGCATATTTCATCTGATTTACTTTCCTATTTTTTTGTTTTCTTATATTCCTTTCCGATCTACTTCCGTTTGACATGTTGGTTTATTCCTGTTTATGGTTCACGTTGTTTTCCCCTACTCCCACTCAAATGTGAGCTCTCACATTGATTCGATACAAGGAACGAACCAAGGCATTTCAAATCAACAAGAAAATATGCATTTTTTTATTCATCTTTTTTTTCTTGTCCGGTTTTGCATATTTTCTGTTTTTCATTTTTCATTTTACATTCTTTTATGAAGTCAATTTGGTTATAAATAATAATAATAATAATTTAATTATTTAATGTTCATTCATAAATATATATACGCATGTGTGTTTGTGTGTGTGTTTGTGTCTGTTCTTAGTTATACGTTTTATGATTAATCGAGAGAAAAGTCTTTCTATAATGCAATTACATAATGTATGTCTAATGTCTTGTCACCTTTCCTCACATTTTGTTTCGTGTAATCGTTTTTCATTTAGTTGATGGAAAGTTCTAGCCCCTCGCTCTCACTATTTGTGTTCTTTTTCTCTCTTTCTCTCACACACACATTGTGTAATTCAATAAATACACAATTTTCTTTGCATCTTCTGATTACATTTCTGTTTTCATATAAATTATGAAGACGATAATGAATAATCAATCGTTCAACATTCCTTTGTGAATATGTATGTATATTTAAGTGTATGTGTGTGTGTATTTATTTTTAGATCGCGATGTCATTTTGTTCCTAAAAAAGATGCATATATGAATGGGGTAGAATAAAAACTACTTCTCGAAAAATTGATATTTTAAAACGAAACCTAAAAAAAATTTCAATAAAAAGTGAATCAATTTTTTTTTGTCCAATTGAAGTGAATCAAGAAAATTTTGTTCAATAAAAGTGAACCAAAAAAAAAATTTCACTCGGTTTTTTCAGTGTAAAATACACTAAAATGAATTTTTTTTTTGGGTTAACTTTTATTGAACAATTTTTTTTTGGTTCACTTCAATTGGACAAAAAAATTTGATTCACTTTTCATTGAAAGTTTTTTTAGGTTTCGTGTTTAAACATTTTTCGAGAAGTAGTTTTTATTCTACCCCATTCATATAATTTTCATCCATTTATTCCATTGCCCTAAACTTTATACTGAACACAAATATCAAATGCACTTGATATTTTACAATATTTTCATGCAATTATTTATCTCAACTCGGTTCAAATCCTCCCATAAACACAATACAATTAACTCAAAGAAGAAAAAACAACATTTGTCTGGTTTGACTGTTTGAATTTCGAGACATTTTGGTTTCCACTACAACACATTCTAACATAACACATTTACATTCGCTTTCATAAATGAGATGTCAAATGGAGAGATGGCCAGTGTCTTTTTTTTAAAAAAGGAAACAAAGCAGCAAAAAAACACATACATCGTAACAAAAAAAAAAATCTGAAATATTCTATGAGCTGGACAAAGACGAACTTGATGTCATCGTACTATTGTTTTTTGGTACAGTTTCACTGCTCATGGAATATGGTATGTAAGCGATATTTCCATTTGGTCCAACTCCGCTGGTCAGCAAATGATGCTGATAGGCAGCTAGAGAGTGTGTATCACTATTGACGGCGGCAGCGGCAGCAGCGGCCGCAACATTATTGCCCATACCACTGTACAGTCCAATTGGTAACGAGGTCGGTGCAAAATTTTGAAGAACATTCGATGCGGATTTACTACTGTTTCGATGTAAATGACCATGATTACCAGCCGACAATGATCCAATCGAACCGATTGAATTTGTTGCAATGGCACCACCATTAAGCAATGCACCGCTCGATGCTGACGGATTCAATCCAGATAGTAAAAAATTGTACCGTGAATTCAGTAATGATGGATTCGATGCATTCAACGATGTCGATGATGATGATGGTAATGATGCATTCGATACGGGATCACATTCCATTTCGAGCGGATAATTTGACGAATTATTTACCACTAAACTATTTAATGCGGACGATGTTGCAATCGGATTGATACTGCTCACTGGTTCCATGCTATTATTACTACTATTGTTGGTGGCAAGTGTGGGTATAATTGCAGCCGCTTGCTGTAGTGTTGGCTGTAACGACGATTGATTATGCAGTGAATTCATCAAGTTGCCATTTTGCTCGGGAAACAACTTCATAATTAGATCAATACGGGCCGAACGTTGCTGCTGCTGCTGCTGATGTTGTGATGGTATTGATAGACCTTTAAAATATCATACACAATCAATTTAAAAAGGAAACATTTTTACATAATTTATATGCTACATTTATATATATTCAAAAAGTGAGTCATTATTATGGTTTTTTTGTCTTTCATATAAAGAAAATGAAGCTAAGATAAAACGATTTCCCACAATTATTTCACACGTCATCTGATGTGATAATTGAATCAAAACAAGTTTTCATCAACTACAAAATTAATTTCTTTTTTTTTCCTACTATATGGTATGAAATAGAGTATTAATTTAGCAGAATGTTGATTTTTGACACACATGGCGCTCTATCTCTCTGTCTACTGTCTATTCAAGTGTTTGGAGGAAGAGCAACGGAAATTTTTAGAATGAATATATGAAATCTTAGTTTGGCTTATAAGTTTGATGATTTTATGCAAAATAAACTACGACAAATAGAGTGAATCGAATTAATATTAAACAAAAAATTTAAATCATCTTTAAATCACATTTGACAATATTGCGAAATAAATTAAAATGAACATTCAAAACGGAAACGAAAACAGAATAAAAAAATGAATGAATGAATACATTATGAACATATATTAAAATTGAAAACAAAAAAATGTATCAACACACAAATGCATTCAAAATGAATCACAAAGTAATAGAATGATTATTACCTATGATTGCGTCAGGTGGGCTTAGGATTATATCCTTTCATACAATTATACTTTCTCATTTTGTTCATTCTTATATTTTCATTATTTTGGAAATGTTGTTGTTCACTAACAACTGAAACAGTTTTTCTTTTGTTTATTTTCAATGAAGTGGTGGTGGCCAAAACGTACGAGAGCATTGATTTGATTTTCGTGTTTGGGACTATTTTGGTAAATTTGTTTTCCAATAGTTTCAGTTGTTCTTGAATGTCATTCGAACGCTTTCATTTGTATATGTCTCTCACTATGGACTAATCAAATGAATGTGTGTGTGTTTTTTTTTTCATTATTTAGTCTAACATTTGCTTTTTTTTATTTCGTCCGTAGTATGTTCGTGTGTTGATCTAAACGTTGAATTGATGCTGATTAATTTTTACTGATGTGCCTGATGATGATGAGGATGATGATAAAATATCCCGAGGCAGTGCAAGTCATCGTCGATCATCTACAGATTTCATTTCAATTCATTGCAATTTGTGTGTGTATGTTTTTTTGTTCGTTTGATTGTGTGTGTCATGAGTTGCGGAGTTTTTTGTTATTATTTTTTTAAAAATTAAATCGAGAAAGAAGAATTTCAAATCGATTAGTAGAAATTAGCATAAGTTGGTTTTTCTTTTGGTTAATGTATAGAAAATGGTAAATAATGTTTTTTTTTTATGTTTTGATTACATAAAAAACCAGCCAAATGAAAACATAAAACCACATCAAAGGCACCAAACAAAATAAAAACAAATTGTTTCAAAAGAGTGATACGCATTTTGCTTCCGAAGAAATGTACAAAAAAAGAAGCGAAAAATGTTCTTTTCTTAAATAAAAAATTTCGACATAATGTGAAAAATATGTTTGAAATGACTTTTGATGTACGGGGGCACATTATCAAAATGAAAACAATGTGAATGGATGAAAAATATGATCAATTACAACAAAGTGACAATATGAAAGTGGTATCGGTTGCGATTCACTCACCATGACTTTGTTGATCTTGTTGTTGTTGCAAACTAACCGATGGACTCGTACTAACTGAATTCACTAAACTCGCGGTGTTGGTTCCTTCGTCGGTGGTTCGTTTAAAAAACTGTGTGTGTGTCTATTGTAAAAATGTATTAACTTATAAATTGAATGGAGTAAGTCATTTGCTTACCTGTTGCTCAGAATCGGTTGTGCGTTTGAAAAAATTATGTTGCAAGGCATAGTACGGTGTGACTCGTGTTTTTGGATCAAAATCAAGCATTCGAAGTATCAAATCTTTGAATTTCAAGTAATCTGATATTGAATGGCCTGCTTCACCGGCTCTACGTCCACCCGGTCCGCCCGATTCAACGCCTAAAATGTCGTGCAATTTTCGCGTTCCTGATTTTCAAAATTAATTCAAATGCATTTTATTATTAATATCGATTTATTCGAATTTGAATTAACTAACCTGGCGGTTTATATTTCCGTCCATTTTGACTCTTTTTCAACACATAACTACCGTCGGTCACCAATTTATCGAAGAATTTTCGTGTTTTGTGCGCTTGATCGAGCAAATGTTTTGGTGGCATACCCAGCACCTCAACGATTTTGTTCATTTGATCGACTTCATCGCCGCCGGAAAAAAGCGGTTCGCCGGTATGCATTTCAACTAATATGCATCCCAATGACCACATATCAATTGCCAAATCATATGGAATTCCCAGCAATACCTCGGGCGATCGATAGAAACGCGATTGAATGTATTGGTATATCTGTATGGAAAAGTATAATAAAATTTCATAATTAATTTTATTTGTTTTTGTTTTATGGTTGACGGATATTTGATTTCAATATTACTTACCCGTTGCCCTAATTGACAAGAGCTGCCAAAGTCGACAATCTTGATAGCTGAACGTTTTGGATTGCATAGTAAAATGTTTTCCGGTTTTAAATCACAGTGAATAATGTTTAGTTCTGGAAAATCGAGAAAAAGCGACACACACATACAGAGGGAGAGAAGGGAAAGAGGAAAAGAGAGAAAAAAGCAAATGAAATTAATAGTCTTCAAGTTGCTTCACGAAGATAAGCACGGATTTTTTCACAGATAATCCGATTGCGGGTGTACTTACCTGGGGTACTTAGAAACAGTAACGCCGTACACAGTTGCTGGGCGAATTTTCTCGTTAAATTCAATGAAACACCTCGAAAGTTTGTATTGCGCAGGAGATCATATAAATTATAGGATAGCAATTCGAACACGAGGCATAAATGATTTCGCCACATAAAATGTCGTTTCAGTTTAACTGCGTAAAATGAGAAATGAAAATGGGATAAGAAATACGAACAACGTAAATAATATATATGAAATGGTTGCCACGTAATGGCAAATGGAATTGTACATATTCAGTTCATTAAACTCACCGATATAATATTTATTTTCGGCATCAGCTCGATTCATCATTTCCAATAGTTTTACTTCGATTTGTGCTTGATTCAAGAACGGCTTCTTATTTTTTATTATTTTAATTGCCACGTGACATTGTTCCTCGTGATCATATGCTTTCACCACTTGCCCAAAGCTTCCCTTGCCTATAATAATTATGCGACATCAAACAAACACGAAACAAAAAAAAATTGGTTAAAAATTCAATTAGCTGCATTGTTCGTTCAAAGCATGTCCTTCAGTATGAACATGTTTGTTCTTCTTTTAAATTGAAAAAAAAAAAAAAAAAAAAAAAACAATTACCGATAAGTGAGTCGATTTCGTATCGGTCCAAGAATTTTTCACCATTTTTAATGATATAATCATGATTATCGTCATCGTAACCATCATTATATAATTTTCGTTCCTTTTTATGCGATGAATCGTCGCCCTGTGTTTGCTGGGCACGTCGCTTTTTCTTCGCGTAATAAACCTGTGATTGAGGGGGCAAATGAACAAATAAAATTAGTCGAGAGTTTTTTTTTCTACTTCCATGCAAGTAAGTTTGGTGTTTTTTTTCTTCCTTGCTAAAAATCGAGCAATATGCTGTGAATAAATCATGGCAAATTGGTTTTTGTTGCGATCTTTTCTTTTATTGTTTGCGTTTTATTTTATTTTTCTCGCTTGCTAAAATGCGCATTGTCGTGATTGCTGGCCCGACGCGACGAATAAGTGAATATTGCGTTCTGTCTGTCTACTTGATTCGGATGCATTTCCAATGTAATTTTGATGTACATTCTTAGCATTTGGATTCATTTTTAAAAAAATGTAATTTTTCTCGGTAATAGTTTTTTTTTTGTTAGTAGGGATGTGTTGCTTCGTGTACAAATCGATATTTAACAAGAGCACTTTTTGTATTGAAATTTTATATACATTGTATGAGCACTGACCTACCATACGGCATATACTCTGTGTGGCATCACAGCTATATTGGCAATAATACAAGCCTCATCTATGCAGTATCCAATGTAGCCCGACGTGGAAAATTATCCGCACACACAAACACACACACATGGACCTGGACACATACATGGCTCATCATGCATACAATCGCATTTGCACAGTTTCATTCATTGCTTCGTTTAAATGGAAAACACTTAGACCAAGTGCATCACAGGCATTTCGAAATTAAACTCAGGCTTGTTTATTTACTTTGGGAAAAAGATTGCAAATATTATGTACGATATATAATACATTTTTTTTCTCTGCGTACAGAGAGAGATTTAGTTCCTGTTTGTCTTTTTCGCTCTCTCTTGATTCGAGTTATTTATTGAAACGATGATGCTTGATGCCGAGAAAATGCCAAAGAGTATGGGACAGAAGCATACAAAAAGAAAGAGAGAGAGAGAGAAAGATAGGGAACGAGAGAGCACCAAAGAGATGCAATTTTCCACAGTCCGTGCAAGAGTCGGAAATCAGTGGAATGCAGACACATTGAAGCTGCCAAAACTCGGTGTGTGCTCACAGCATCCTCTCTTGCACATAGTGAAAAACTCAAGTGCTTTGTCGGTAACGGCGCTCAGGCTCCGTATGAGCCTGTATTCAAACCGTACAAGAATCTATATACATAAATCATATGAGAGATGCAATTCAATGTATATTTAAACAGAAATACTGCGGCTAGGCACATCGCTCAGTACATACATGCATGTTATATACAAGGAATGGTGCTTTATGTAACAATCAAAGTTCATGAACCTCAGTGAATGCGCTTTAAGAGTACAAAATGCGGAAGTTCAATCGCACAGATTCCATGAGGTAGGACTAGGTACAGTACACATTCCCTGAAATGACGTATCAACTTTCGAACTGTGAAAAACTATCATTCGTGATGTGCATCAACGTCAACGTCAACATCAACCATCAGCCATCAACATGCAAAACACTGAATGTTGAAAAATTGAATGCCATTTGAGTACGGAAAGCAGAAATGATATGGAGATGAGGGGACGAAGAGAGGGAAAAGTGTGTTTGCGATAGAGAAAATAAAACAGGCAAAATGAAATGAGAAAAAAAGTATTATGGAAAATGGTGATGTGGAAAAAAGTGAATAAAAAACTGTTCCGTACATCATCAGAATGCACTGATCAATTTCCATCATTTCACATGGAATCGGCTCCGCTTTCTGCGTATTATAAAATCATTACGTAGATTTACCGATCGAATCGAGTTCAAATATGTACACGACAATTCATTCTATTGGCAAATGGAAATTATCAGAAATATTGGATAGTAAAGTGTTTCGCATAGCATAAGGCTTTCGTATATTGTAATGTCACATATTTTCCAATTCAAATCGAATCAGAAATCAATAGTCACTTATTTATACAGCAGAGAACCATACCGATAATTTGCAGTTTCAAAGATCAGTGAGACAAATATTTTTCGATTCAATCTTTTTCTTCATCTTGTGTTTTTTTTTTTTTTTTGATTTTCGTGTCGCCATGTCGGAATGAATGAGATTCTTTTTATTCATCTGCTTATCAACACCATAATGTTATTTTTTTAAGAAGATTAACGCTGAGCTTACCTCGTTAATGTGTTTGTAAGTCTTTATTAAATCGACACTGAGTTTTCGCAACGGCGCTAACGATGGATCACGGAAATGTGTGGGGATACGTGCTTGCATCGCACGAATATCTGTCGACGATGTTGGACTATTTGTTCGCTGCAAAAGCTAAGAAGAGTTTTGGTTATTTACAAGAAATCGATTGATGCACTTGCCTTTCTTCTCTGCATTTTGGCCTCATTTTCGTCTCGCATCGGAATCCTTGTTCAAAGGATATTCACGAAAGCGAACGAAACGACAAGCGTACAAGAGAAGAAGAGGTAAGAGCCACGATGAATGAGAAGAATGAAAACAATAACAAACACATAAAATAAATGGTTTTAGCTTCAAAAACTTACTTGGTGAACTGCATCCCGATGAGCAGCTGGCAGGTGTTCTTCGGCAACTAGTCGTCCATACAAAGGAGCATGTCGTTGACGCGATGCATTCGCATCTGGTCCAGCAACAAATGGTGCTGACACTGTAAACATATGCATTGGAAAATTTTCAATATAAGAAATTTTTGGTATGAAAACATCTTAGAAAAGATAAAAGGAACATAGTGTAGGAGAGAGCGGGCGAAAACAAAAGAAAAAAGAAAACATGTAAAAGCAAATAAAAGCCAATATGCAGACAATCTGGATGAAAATGAAACAAACATCAAATGTTGCAAAAAGCTGATGATTTGGCAGAATTTTCTGTCGGCTGCATTGCAGACTCTGAGAGAGACTGAGAGATTTCCGATTTTTTTTTTTCAACAGCAAAAACAGTAACACCAGCAACATTGTCATTTAATCACCAAACGAAACTTTTTAAGAGACGTGAATTTGGAACAAAAGAAGAAATATTCCTTGTTACTTTTGTTTTATGATCGATACGTGAGCAATCAAAAAGTTTTTCGGGTATAAATGAGCTCTTGTGTCAGGTGAACAATTGACTTTTGAGCTAAACGTATTTCAAAACTTTTTAACTGTCAATTTTATATCACACGGCAATTAATCAGTTCTCTTTTCGAGTTTTATCAGCTTTGTTCATTTAATAGAGGGAGAAAAAAAATTCCAAATGAAATTACATCTCAAACCACCAACGCCACCAACACCAACACTACCACATCCTCATCATCCAACTCACACTTTGGTTTAATATGTTTAAAAAGTTTGTGCTGTCGCATGTTGGCTGTTTCCATGTTCGTCATTGATGATGGAACATTCTATATTCTTCTTCTTTTTTTTCATTTCATATTAAGTTTACGTACGCGCGCTCTCTTTCTTTCCTTTTCCACTATCCCTACCAGACACACATACAATACGAAATCAAACTAATAGAAATTGCAAACAACTTTTGCCGTTCATTTTAATTAAACTAAAAAAGTATTTCTATTCATTTGTTGATATTACATATATGTATACAATTACACATATTACATCGACATACATTGGAATAAAAAAAATCGTTTGTTTACATTGTTGAATCAGTTTGTGTTATCTCATGTAAAATGAACGTTGAGTTGAATCAACTCATAAACATTGGATGTGTGGATAAAACAAAACATTAGGGGGAATGAAAAAAGAGGAGACACAATTTCCACTTTTAATATTTAATGGTAAAATATTCACACCTCATTGTCGGCTACAAACGATAAGATAGAGAAAGAAAGCGCGGCAGATAGACAGACGGACAGAGAGAGAGAGCGAGAGCGAGAACGAGAAAAAGAAAGACGAATGGGAAAAAAGTAACGCACACGGTAAAAATGTGGAAAGTGACGTTTGATGTAGCGACTAGGCGAACATAGGATATTACAGTAATTCTCTCATGTAATAAATAAGGGCTGCCTCATGGCTTCTCTCTGCACTTCACTTGATTCGCGTGTGGAATGTGCTCAATGTTGGAAAATGTCTATTTTAATTCTAAGCTAATAAATAAGTGAAATCCCCTTTTTGTAGTACCTCAATTGCGGCAAGAGTCATTCGGAAAAACAATTAAATTAAATGCCTCGTAATGTTTGCTCTTTCTCCGACTAAAAATAACATGTGAAACATTGATTTGATGTATTTTTAAAATAGAAAAACGTGGTCCAAATATGGTTCGTAGACACGAATTCCACTAATTCTCTATCGAAATGAAAAATATATCGGTGTTTATATATAGAGACATTTCCGCATGTACCATACAATGCATACACATGTATATGCAGTAAAGAAAATCATAATGACTGAATTAGTTTGTGTTAATGTATATCTGTGACCATTTTTGGTTGAAATAGAGACGCAAAGAATGAATGCGAGAACGGTCAGAAAACATGTTTCGAGATCAATGACATTCTCATACGCAAAGAGTTCATTAACATTGATGGTAAACAAATTTCGGAGAAAGAATGACGAAAAGAGAGGAAAAAACCAAAGAAGAAAAAGACAGACTGGAAAGTATAGGGAAAAGAACCATAATAACTTTGGCGTTTTTTTTTCGTTCATTTTGTTCTCTCTTCACTTCAAATAACAATTGTATTCTCGTCAGAGATTGAACAGGTTTTAGTGTATTATCGGTTATGAGCACATATACATAAATATATTTGTTGTTTTTGTACTCTCGCGCGCATTTATGATTTTGTGCGTCGAACTGTCAAACTGAATCAGCCGCAACATAGTTTGGATGAGTTTTACCGCGGCCACTTTATGAATTAACTTTGCGTTACATAGGATCGAAATAATATTCACATTTCAAATTAATCTTAACCGATAATCTGTCTGTCAGATTGTGAATATGTGCGGGAGAATGAGAGACAGACAGAGATGGGATAGAGGTGAAAAACCTTCGATCAGCGCATCTTTTAATCTACCCAATTCGTGTATGTGAAGAAATCATTGACTCCACAGCATGAAATCCATCGTGTTTGCTTTGGACTATTTCGTGCGAAACATTTTGCGCTTTATTATATTTTGTGGTCGTTTCATTCTTATAATATGGAATTTTTTTTCACCGAATCGTATCATTTTTGGGTAAATGAAAGCCGGCGTCTTCTTCAGATACATTCTTTATTTTTCCATTGTTTATGATGAAGCCGAAACGTGTTTTGGATATTATTCGAAGTGTAATATGCATTGTTGTTTGTAAATCCCAGCGGTTTTACAGCCACATCAACCACATGACATATATATATATATGTGTGTGTGTGTGCATAAAAATGTATATAGAAATATTGAGCTTGACTGTGGGAGACGTTTTGCAAATTGAAAAATACGATCATTTAATGATCAAATGGGTTCAATTTGATATTCAGTGGTTTACCATATGGGAATGAAGATGACAATCTGGAGTGAAAAAGACAAACAATTATTTCATATCCAAAAATATTTTCGGCTCTCCGGTATGAAAGGTAAACGAGACAGTTTGGTGTTCTTTTTTGCGATTTCAAACTCAATCCATTTCGTCTGCTTCATCTAAATTCATTTATTGATTTAGCGAGAGAATAGCAATCGGTCTCACTCGAAAACAGTAAGAGGATTTGTGTCTGTGTATAAGTATACAGTAACCGTTTCTGTTTGATATTCAAAACAAATATATTTCTTTTTCAGCGAGCAAACGAAAACATTTCGAGAATAGCGAACGCAACAATGGTGCGAACAAAGGATTTGAGCAATTAATTGCTTAGGTGAATGGGCTGTTTCAAGGTCGGTTGCGTTCTTTTATTTTGCTAAACCGTCTGTCTAAAGTTCTCACATTTCAAGACATCGAATTTAGAACATAAACTAATTAAATGTTTTTGCTTGGTCAGCGTTGTTTCGATTTCAAATCTTTTCTCACATTTGACACCCAACAGATTTGTTTTATATCTACACTCGCGTGCAGTTCTTATATTAATAAAAAATAATCGTAAATTCATGGCATTTAACGTCATGCAACTAACGAAACAAAAACATATCGAGTAAAAGTGTTCATTACGTGATGTAATAATATATATATATATGACGGGATCTATTTTCATTTGAATCACTCTTTAAAAATAAGCAAGAAATGTCTCATTTTTGTTTTTTCGCTGTTTGTGTGAGTGAGTGAAGCGATCGATGAATGATTTAAGGAGAGTTCGAGTGTCATACTCGAATGAATCAGCCCATTTGACTATGTATGGCTGAGATCTGCTGCCCACTACCGCAAATTTATCAACATTCAGTATGAATCATTTATTGCGACTGCTTGATAAATTAGCTCCTGAAACTAAATAAATTCACTTTGACTGCGTGTGTTCAAACTTCAAAGCAAAACGTACTCAATTCCGTATATGCTGTTCGAGTGATTCAAATCGTTGGCACGGTTCTTTTATATATATATATTTTTTTAATTCAGCCTTCCCAAAAAAAATCCGCTTCGCGAATACAACAAAGTCGAAAACCGGATTTTTTTTCATTACATATATCGCCTTTAATTTTCAATTTGGTAGTGTGAATTGGAGTTGACGACTATTTCATGGCACTCATTGGCAAGAGAGTGAGAAATGCAATGAGTATGTGTGTGAGAGAGAGAGAGAGAGAGAAAGAGCGTATAACGTTGTTTTATACCTCTTTCCACGATTTGCTGCTTCGCATAGCATCATTAATAATTTTTCGTCACTCCAACGCGTTAAAGTAACGTTTTTGCATTTTAAACACATAATACCTAGTGTGCAGTGTATAAACATCAAACTTTATATTTGATAATTGTCAACATTGCATGAACACGTTGTGGAAAGAATCAACAACGACGACAGAGAAAGAAAATGGAATTTTTATTTTCCGTCGACTTTTTTTTCTGTTCACTCAAAGTAATATCACAGTTGAAAATTTAAAATGACATTTTTGTCTCTTTCTCTTCTCCCTCAATCAATAATTCACAAGTTTAACAATGCTATTAAAAGACTATTAACTTGCTCTGTTGCCAAATAATTTAAATAATCGCGTTAACGGAATTTTCCCGATTAAAACCGCCTTCCATTTATGTAACCACACCGTCAATGAATGCTTAATGTTTGTGTTTTTTTTTGTTGTTGCTCTATTCGTTCGTTGGTTCACGTTCACATTTATAAATGTTTCCGGTTTTGGAAGCTGAAAAAAGATATAGTTTTGTTGGTGACAGACAACAAATTGAAAATTTGTTGACGAAAAGAAGAAATTAAATAGATTGAATTGAAAATGTTCAATGCCCACATGAATGGTGAATCTTTCCTTTCTTTAAATAGCAAACGAATTGCGTAGGGTGTTGGGCGCCGAACACCTCACGTAAGAAATTACAGTTTAACTAAAGTTGACATGGTTTTTCGAGTGAAAGAAATTGACCATCAAAATTGAAACATTTACCGTACGCTAAAATGGAACCCCCATATGGTTGATGGATTTACCATGAAATTTCATAACATTTTAAGCTCACTTCACTGAATTCATATTTCCCTCTAAATGTATATAAAATAAGCAACGATTGAGATTTAGCGTATTTACATCTGGCAAATATATAAATTCAGCTTTGCTGGCTCACACCATCTCGTACACGAAAAAATCACAAGGAGAGAGAAACACATACACAGAGACAGAGACACATAACATTTCGGCGATGACTTTTTCTCTTGTGAATAATATCAAAGGAATAAAAATAAAACGGTAACAATGTAGACATAGATACGTATGATAATGACGTTTGACCACTTCTATATACATGCATATCCGTGATATGTGAGCGCTCGCACTCCACTCTCTCTTGTTCTCTCCTTTTCGCAAATTGCGTGCTCAAAGAAATTCCGTCTGAAAGGAATTTATGTTGATTTATTTTTGTTTTCGCATTTATTTATGTGCTGCAGTTTCGACATCGAACGCTTTTTTACGCTTCGGGCTGTTATTTTTTTTTCATTATTCTTTGTCTTGCGCTAACTGTGTTCGGACTCTGTCATATCAAACCCCAGAGTGTTTCTTGATGTTACGATATTGCCATCGCCTAATTAGTTAAATTAATTTTGTCTCGACAAAAAGACGAAAGCCATCGAATTCAACCAATAAATTGACATTTTCCGTTCAGTCGGTATGTGCAAATGGGCGAGATCGTGAACGCAATCGCATCTATTTTTTTGCTTCTTTTCCTCTTAATTTCAAATAATATAAGCTTCAACGAAGACGCGACAGCGTTTTATTTGACATTTTAGCGAGATGTTGGTTGCGTTTGACCATTCACTAGTTTTATTTTTATTTTATCTTCAGCGCTGACTCAAAGCGAGAGCCGAAAGATTTTAAGATCCGTGTTTGTAATTAAATACATTTCGTGATTCTTAGGCTGACGATAGTTTTGTTCACAGCTCACAAATCACAAGAGCAATCACATTGTATAAAAATAGATTTGCGCCTAATTGAATAGATTTCATTGCACGCGTGTCATGCATTACTTCGCATTTAACACAGTAATGAAATCGATGCATCACTGCATTTATACATATTTTCGCGTGCGCTCCCAAACACATAAACATACATATGCGCGCCCAGCAACACCATCAATCACAACAATGAAATGTGTGTCGAAAAATGATTTGATTTGGTTCACTACCTTTGGAATTATAACTGTTGATATATTCCCAAGGTTTGGGCGATTCTGGAGACAAATAAAGTACAGTCGCCGACATTTTTTAATTAAAATCACTGCTTGTGCTTTTTTTGTCACTTTTGAATAAAAAATTTCAAACAATTTTGTCTCTTTTATGTCGTTTTGTAAATATTCCTGTTTATTTTGAACTGTGTTTTTTTGTGATTTCACACGGAAAAATCTCTCGTTTCAAACCGCTCGGTTTCTTTATTCGAAAACATTTACTTTCCGCAATATTTGTGTATATTCATCGTTTCAACCGACCGGATTTCTTTTTTCTTTCTCTATATATATATTTTGCTTTAATTTTAATCAGAATGACGTGTTCGGTGGCGCGGCGTGTTCATTTTTAAAATTCCCGTCCATTTATCGGTTATGAACAAAATAAACTGAATGAATATTTCAATGAAGCAACGAACGGAGCAAAAAAATAATAATAAGCAAAGAACAACAACACAAAACCGTTCACTCTGTGTCGCAGTCGTCGCACACGAAATAGAAAGACGAAACTGACGAAAGTCTGAAGTGGCGGCATCGATGCCGTGGTACTCGTTTATGATGATTCGTCGAATCGTGATTTGATATGTGTGTTTGTATGCGAATGAGCGAATGTATAACAATAACAATATACATCGGTAATATAATGTTCATATATGAACATATTCGATCGGTGGAACTGTAAAAGAGAGAAACAGTGACAAAGACAGAGAGATAGGGAGATTGAAACATTTTATTACTTTCGCATGACAATGAAATCACGCGCACGAAAGGCAAATGAAACGAAAGTGTCAATAATATATGTGCGGAACGCGCCACTTTATCAGACAATTCGATTGCGAAAATTGCGAACAATTGGAATGGAAAGCAAAGCACTGTCAATATCAGAAGATGAAAAAAAAAAAAAGAGAATAAGAAATAACAACAGAAAGACGGAAAATGCGGCCGATTTCAGGGAAACAAAAATTATTCGCAATTTTATGAAAACCGACTGGGACCGAAACGACGAAAAAATGTCGATTGACGTCAAATTCGCTCATTTCAACTGACACACTTAATGTGTGCCATTTTATGTGTTTGTATATATTGACTATTTGAATATAAGTTTACGGCTTAACGCCTCTCATAAAGATTACGAACCGTAACGTGCGATACACAAAATTCGAGAAGTTAGTAACGAAGAGAAAAGAAATCAACGAATTAGACAAGAGAATTATAGGAAAAAAAGGGGTTAATTTCGCAGTTCTCACACTTTTCATAATTTTTTGGGCAAAAATGTTTGGAATGTTTTATTGACATGATGCAAAGAGAAAGGGACAAACGAAAGAGATAGAGAGAGAATGAAAGAGAAGAAAGTATGCCGTATGTCATATTAAAGACTCTCAATAAATTATCTGTTGTCTGGGGTTTATGGAATTATTTAACGTATCGAACGAACGAACGGTTGTATTGTACCGTTTTACATTGGGCTGGGTAACATACCGCAGTCACTCTTTTTTCCATTCACATCGTCATACCCTTAGTGATACTCATTCCATTGCATTTTATAAACATGTCTAAGCAACGCAGTCCGTCTGTATGAGCATTCGACTAAACAGCAGTCAGCGAAAACAGAAAATACAATATACATATTTCTTTTCTTCAATTCGCTTGCCTCCATTTCGTTCTTCTCCATCTCAGTGAAGTGTGTGAGTGTGCGTGTGAATGAGCTTGTGTCTGTGTATTATTACGTAAAGGCACTGAGTTATAGGGAGAGAAAAAAGGGAGCATTGGTAGCAACAGCGAGAAAATTTATGGTGAGACGGAGAAAAAGATTTCCATTCTTTCCATAGCAACAGCGAATACCAAGCTCAAGAAATATTTTCTCAAGACAAGAAATTGCGTTCAAAATCCTGAAATGCGAGAGAGATGCGAATAACATAACATTTCGATCTGCACGCAAGCTGCCACTTAATTCGAGGTATGGATACAGATGGGGTGGATGATAAAATACATAAAATAGTCTATACTGTACATTTAGCTATATACCATTCGTACATGTATATATACATTTGGTCGGCATATTTAAACAGGAACAACAACAGCAAAAGCATAGCAAACCATCACCACCACCATTACTCCTTCTATTTTTCCATAAAACCACCACCATTACCATCGAGTCAACGAGCAAAGCATTTTCATCGACTTTTCGTGTAGAAAGCATTCAACAAGAATGTGTGAACTGAATAGAAGGAGTGGAAGAGAAGAAGTGAGACAGAGAGAGAGATAATGAATAAAAAAGAAACGAAGATGGAAAGAATGCTCGACAAATCAAGCTTTCACTCAAGAATGACTGAAGAGACCGAGAAATGGTGAGCGAATAACGTGCAATGCGTCTCTCTCTTCGACAAATTGAGAAAATCAAGATTCGTTTTCTTCATGATTTGCCAAATAAAATTGCGTCTACAGCGGTCCATATATTCAATCGGAAACGGTAAAGTAAATATTTTTGTAACACTTCAAATAGAAGAGAACTTGTTTTTATTTACATAAAGTTGTCATAAGTTAAATAGAAAAGATGGTGAACAGATTTTCAAATGCTCCGAGCAGAAAATGTTCGATTCTTGTTGTAAACGAAAGCCAATGATGTGGTATCAACTTGACAAATACTACTACTATGAGTTATAATAATAATAACAATAACGCCATTATTACAACGGTTACTGTTGCTGTTGTTTATTATTATTATATTTATTATTATAACTATTTCCATCCAGATTTCCTGCATACTATTTACAACAAACTTAACGAACAATTCCTTGAGAATGGTATAGGTTTTATTTATCAATAGTAATAGAAAGACATTTACTTACGTTTCTGTTTTGTTTTATCCATTAGCATGCTAACATGGAAACTGGTCCCGTGTACACAATTGTTCGATGCAATTGTGACAGTGAATGTATTCAAGAAAAACGGATGCGATTTTATTATTGTTCTTCTATTATGTTTTTTTTTGCTTTTAAAAAAATGCACTTTGTTTTCGTACTCTCTTTCTTTCTGTCCTCTTGTCTTGGTTTTCTTTTGGGTTTGTTTATTTTTAAGCACTTGGGTTTATATGGAGTTTCAATAGTAAATTGGACGTCTTTGACTCTGTGATATTGATATCAAACACGAAGAATTGACGACGAAAAAAACTATATAAATATATATTAGTTTTTCAGACACGCAGATCACGTTAACAAACAAAATTTACAATTATTGACACGTTGATGTTTGTGGCTGTTATTCTTTCTTATAATAATTCGTTTTATATTTGTATTGTTATTTAAAATGCCTCGAGAATTGTAACGCATATTTTTACTCTTGTGAACATTGTCCTTGTTTTCCTGTTCGTTTCAGTATTAAATTGTTTGTGCTGCTGCCTGATGAATAATCGATGTCTAAGTCTCGACAATTGTGTTGTTTTTCTTGCACGATAAAACCTTCATTCCTGCAAACAGAATAAAATATAAACATTGATTATTTAGTCTGTTTATCAAACATTCGGTCTTATTCTATCAAAAAAAATATTGTAATACGTATAGTAGTTTGCGAGATTCATTTCGAATTTTATGTATGACTGCCCAATAAACAATAGCAAAATTAATCTCTGTCTTTCTCTATATGTGCGTTTTCTTCCATGAATAAAAATAAATCTCAACAAATATATAAATGGATACCAATCAAATCAAAGTCTTATGGAGCAAAGTCATTATGACATAATATGGATAATTTATAAGAAGAAAAAAAAAATCAATAAATTACTATGTTTTGAAATCATATCGATATGAATGTGATAGCATACACTGCATATACAGAGAGAAACAAAACTATAGACGATTATTATTGGAAGAAATCATCTGTGATGCCATTTTGGTTTATGCCATCAGTTGCCGCAGCAACAACATCAGCATCGGCAAAAAAAGCCATCGACATTGTTTGGTATTCATTTGCCGTATCATTTGTGAAACATGAGCGATTATGTACACAGAGAGGAAACAAGGGAGAATAAGAATAAAAAAAAAACAAATTTCAACTGCTGATGATTGCTTGTGATTTTGGAGGAATTTTGATGAGAAAATAATCTAATTATATTGTATTGAGAGAGCGAGAGGAAGCACAAAAAAGAGTGATTGAGATAGAAAGAGAGAGAAACAACGGTGATAAATTCACGTCTTATAATCATCTTTTCGTGTTTTGTGTGTGTGTGTGTATGTTTGTGAGAAAATGAAAACATTCACTTTAATGTGATCTCTCAAGTACTTTATTGCTTAATGTGAATGTCGAGAGCGGATGGCCTATTTATGTTCGCCGAAAAAAATAATAATAATATAAGTGAAATATGTGTACAAGTGTTCCACATTTTGTTTTCGGGTAGTTTACTTGTTTTCTCGCGGTAATTGCAGTATAGACAATTTGCAAATGCATAAAATAAATACAAATTACTGCATGATGATGATAAACGTGAAAATGTGTTCGTTTCAAAAACGCTCACTCTTCCGTTGCACAAAAAAACTGAATGAAATTGATTGCATTAAGCATCAGAAAGTAGAATGTGCGTGTTTTTTTTCTCTTTCGTAAAATAATCTGTTATGGAATATGGTTCAAGTGCGAAATTTCCTGATAAAATTGATTAGCGCTCTCTAATCAACATCGTCGACTGATTATTATTAACTTAATTTAACGATTCCAGTATATATATATATTTTGCTCATCGACAAAACTTAACGGGGCGCGTAGAAACCAATCTCTTTCATGAATACCAGTGTAGTTGTGTGCATATGTATGCTCACGATTGAGAATGTCCGGGTAACACAATAATAACAATGATAATCATCCAGTGTGATTTTTTTTGTTTTGCTCCGTTTTTGCGCTGAACTAAGCACATCACATGAATGCTGTCGCGATGGAGATAGTCGATATATCAAACACACAAATACTGAAAATTGCAGTAGGAGTGACATTTATTTTGATTGTGAATGTTTGTATATATGATTCGTAGTTTGTTTCTCTGTTGGATCTTCGAAATCGTTAGTTTGTTGCCATCTCACAAGCGATTTGATATTTTGATGTTTCGATATAATTTTGGGTGGAAGACATTCGCCGAAAAATAAAATTCGAGGCGATATCTCTTCGACTTAATAATATGACGAAGACGAAATAAACAAAACGAAACGGAGTCCGCATAAAATGTAGAAAACTAAAACGCAGAAATTAGAGAGACTAGAATAAGCGCAAACAAAGGACACAAACATCAATACGTAGATAAATCTCGTGCAGAATTACCGATTTGTTTGCAAAATAAGTTTTACCAAAGAGAAAAAAAGATCAAGTCTTTAAATCGTATTTTGTACACTTCATTTTTGTGTTTTAAAATGTTTCCGCATTTTAGTTTTCTGCATTTTGTTGGGATACCAAACACAATCAGTTTTGCTTTTTTTTATTGTATTTTCTCTGCATTTACAACATGTTGATGATGTTTAACCATAAAAATGTCACATCGACATTTGATAAATTTAATTAACAGAGAGTGAGACATGAACATGCGACGATCACCGTGCCGATTTTCAAATGAAATGGCACACACGCATACAGGCGCACAATCTCAACCGATCCGTTTTTTTGCTATTGCCTCTGCAATTTGAGAGCATCTTCCTCAAAATTGTTTGCTCGTTGTTTTTTTTATATAGGTTGTTCTATTTAAAACGTATACTCCATATTTTTCATCTCAAATTACTTGAATATGCATAAAAGCGAGCTGTGTGAGAGCGTGAGCAGCTGTTGTTGTTGGGTCAACAGTTTTTGTTGTTGCTATTTTTGTGTTTTTTTTTTTTTCGTACCCATACGGCTAACTGTATTAATGAATAAAGATAGCACTTCACTCAATTCTTTGCTGTTGGGATGCAATCAACATGAGTTTGTATTTTTTTTTTTGTTTTGTTGCTGTTCGGTGATCTATAAAAATACTTATCATCGTGATATACAGCAATATCACTTGAAATGAATTTATCAGACAAAATTAAGTTTCGCATCGATACAGAGAGATCACGACGTGGGTAAACAAGTGAACGAGACAGATAAAAAAAACAACTGTATCAACGAGACAAAAAATAAAATAAAATCACAACAACAAGAATGATAACAAAAACAACAAAACGCTGCTTATATTTATTAAGCAAAATAAACGCGTTGTTGGCGCATAGACGGAATGCGCACTCAGATTGCCCACAACGTATATTTTAAATAAATTCAAGTCCGCCGTCAGTAAGTAATAGCGAACACAGAGAAAAAGAAACGTGCACACATACACAAAAGGAATACAATTCAAATAAAGTTGAAAAATAAAGGAGATTGTCGTGGCGGTGTCTTGAATAATATATATCGGACAGACGTATAAACCCAAAATTCCGCAATCGCGAAGTGTATAAAAGTCAGTGCCGCCATCAACGCTGCCGCCGACACTGACAACGACGTCGATGAGCGAAAACAAAAAAAAAACCAATTCACAGAATGAAGTGAGAGCAAAAACCCTTCGCTAGATTACAAATTAATAAGAGGATGAAAAAGGAGGATAGATATTAAAAAATACATACATACACAAAGTATATTGAGTGGATTTCTTGGAATGGATGAGCAAAAAAATTGAAATGAAAAAAATCGCAGAAAAAAGAAGAATAAAATTATAAGCAACAAAAATGGTCGACCGAAGAAGCATTTTTCTTCGTATTTAGGAATGGAATGTTTTTTTTCTTGTTTTTTTTTTTTTGCGCTTCAACTTCATTATAAATGGGCAAGTGTGGTTGCTGCTTCTTGGAAAAATCATTACTTTAAAAAAAGGCAATTTCTGCTCTGAATATGCTCTTATTATAGAAACGCGTCAATGAAATCCTTTTGGACGACCATGGCCTGTTTTTTATTCTTTGCTCTCGCATTTTTATGTAGCACATACTTTTCCTTTTCCGGCGCATAATATGAAAATAATGGACATTTGCGTGACACACGGTTTTTGTAAACAATTCGCATAATTGTGTTATACTTGACTTGTGTATTGTGTGTCGCGTTGTCCGCATACACACACACACACATACTCGTGCACATTGATATGACGCAGAATGGCAAAGAATGATTCATTCGCATTTAACAATGTGCACTTCACTTTATGTGCGGATCATCTTGGAGTGTGGAATTTTGATAAGCACTATAAAACCCGTTTCGGTGTTACTATTTTTTTTATGTTGATTCTAATATGGTCGGATATTTCCAGTGTGTTCGTTATTAGAGAAAAATGCTATTAAAGTTGATAAGATTGAGTAATAAAATTCCAATAATCAAGTATAATGTTTCGTCCATTGTTGGTTTTGAATTTATTTTTAATTTTCATACTCGATTTTTCGATGATTGAATTAAAATTGTTTAAAAGCTTTTGCTTACCGATGATAGGGTTACACAAAACACAAACAGAGACAGTTGATTTCCCAATGAAATGAAGTGAATCAATTGAATTATGCATATTTCCAATAGTGAGCTCGACCTAATTGTATGTTTCGTGTTTGAAGAGATAATAATAATGGAATTGTACGCGGCAATTGTACTCTTATTGGTCTGTATGCGATGCCATTACTTTTTTTTCATTTCAGCCTATATTTTTGTTTTTGTTTACAGGTGTTAATGTTAATGAGTTGAGCATGCTCTGACACTGTCTAGCACATACTCTATCGCTGGCTCCATTTGGCTCATGTCTACCTATACATTCTCATGAGAATCTTTACCCGTTTCCAATTTTAGAAATAACGGCATGTATGAATGGGGTAGAATAAAAACTACTTCTCGAAAAATGTTTAAACACGAAACCTAAAAAAAAATTTCAATGAAAAATGAATCAATTTTTTTTCGTCCAATTGAAGTGAACCAAAAAAAAAATTGTTCAATAAAAGTGAACCAAAAAAAAAATTCATTTTAGTGTATTTTACACTGAAAAAACCGAGTGAAATTTTTTTTTTGGTTCACTTTTATTGAACAAAATTTTCTTGATTCACTTCAATTGGACAAAAAAAAATTGATTCACTTTTTATTGAAATTTTTTTTAGGTTTCGTTTTAAAATAGCAATTTTTCGAGAAGTAGTTTTTATTCTACCCCATTCGTATGTGTTTTCATGCTTACGAATTCAAGCGGAATCTATACATTTTATTTTTATTATTTTTTTAAACTTTAATTTCGGAGTAAATTGATCAATCAAATCACACTGATAACGCAATAAAATAAAGCTTCAAGTGTTTGTATTTTCATGTATTATCAATTTCGATAATCACGTGGAAACCTTTTCAAATTTCCGGAATTTTAGCGCATCAAATATAAACATTCGTGTCAGAACATGCGAATCATAATTCATTGCTTTTTTTCTGTTTCATTCGATAATCACTTGAAAGACTACATGAAATTGCGATTATTTTCAAAGCTACAATAAAAATATAAAATGGTGGTTTTACTTCAAGTTTAGTTTGATGCAATATCAAGAGCGGTAAGTGTGTTAGACACGTGTTTGTCATTGTTTTTGTTTATGATTTGGTCTGATGATATTATAAATATGTATATGATATTGGCCGAAATTCCGTCGTCGTGGTAAAAGAAATCAAACAACATGGTTAATAGTATGGAGGGAATACGGTTTTAATTTGCGTAATGGATATGTTGTGTGCAGGTGACAAAATAAAATATCATATCATGGTGAGAAAAATGGCACACAAAAATCGCTGAAGCTGTCAATATAACTCAAACCGCGTGTCAAATTTCGCTGTGACAGAACAATAGAACGCGAAAATTCTATGGAATTTGAATGGTAAAATGGTTGCTTTTTTTATTTTCGCTGTCTTCTATCAACACTAAGAAAAATAATTTTTAGTTCGACTGTCCAATAAGAAAGCAAAGTAGCAAATTACGAAGTACATATCGTGTAATTTGGCTTTATAGAGTGATTAAGCCATAAGAAATGAATTGCATGTTGTGTGTGGATTTTTTGTTTCGATTCAGATATGAGCAGTGAGCATGTTCAATGTGATAAACGCAAACCGAATTATCATTCGACCATCTGAATCTAGAAATATGGCAAAATGTAGCAACCGTTGTTAATAATTGTATCAACAACAACAATAACATCAATCGTACTTAATTCGATCAACAATATCGAATGACGGCGCTGTGCATATTATATGCACAGCCTGATGATCGGCCACAGCTCAAACGGAATGTATATCATGCACACAATTGTAATGTAAAAGTCAGGCTTCCACCTATCAAATTAAATCCACAAATTTTATTATCGATTCTGTGGTTTACACCGAAAATGCTTTAGTTGATTTACACATTTGACACACCAATTTATGTGTCACTTCTATTCCTTACTATTACTTTGTTTGAACCATGCTAGTTTGAACACATCCAATCCGCAATTCGAGAACACACACGTTTCTATCAAAATCGAAAGACACATACACACATGCATGTGTATACCAATTGGTTTGTGTTGCCATAAGGTTTAGAATTCTATTATGGAGTAACGAATTGCCAATGGCTACAGTTCAGTAACCGAAACTGGAAAAAAAATTGCATATATTCGAAATCTGATTCACACACAGATTTTCGGCAAAAATTGTGTCTCTGTGAATTAGAAAGTTGTGGCAATTCAATTCGTCAAAAGAAGACGGAAAAAGAGGTACAAAAAGAGGCAACAAATTGTTATATAGCAGCGTCTTCATAAATTTCAAAATGTAGGACCTCTTTTGTTTCTGCCAAATGGACTTCATTACAAATGAAACGGAAAGAGATGAGAAAAAAACCATAACGTATCATGTATATGTACAAAGCAACAGCATTGTACGAGTATGCTGTTGATGATGTTGGCCACTGGGATTTTTTTTAAAGAGGCGAATGAGAAGAGCGGGAACTTGACGGTTCGGAAAGTGTTGCGGAAAAGTTTGATTAACATGCGTGCATGCGGATATGTATGCATATAATAAGAAGAAGAACAGCAAGAAACAAACCATTTTCATGATGTGAATTGGGAAAGAGAGAGAGGGAGAGCAAAGAGCGAGAAGCAGAGAAAGAGCCGGGCCGGGGCAGAACCAAATGGTATATATGTCATTATTAAAGAATATCACGAATAATGGAACTGGAACGGGATAGACGATTCCGGGCGCACATAATACGGCGACTCATTCACCAACACATACACATTCACCAGCGAAATAATAATAAAAGTTACAATTGTAATAATAATGCGAAGCGATCGTTCACCTTCTCTGTATTTTGCTTCTTCTGTTTGGTTCTTTTATATTCCCTTTACATATCTGTCGTTGTTTTTTTCCTACTTCGTTCATTTCGTGTATAGTGTGTATTTTTCTTCGATTCTGAAGTTCCTCGCTTTCTATCTCCGGTTTGTTTCTTACCACTATTACACAAAAATATATGTATATCAAGCACACAGACACAGTCGCACAGTGATATAGAAAGAGAGACAGACATGGGGCTATGCAAACGCCACACACGCACGTCTGTATTATTATTTTTTTGGCGTGCCTGTGTGACCACAGAGATTCTTGTGTGTCTCTCTTTTCTCTCTCGTTGATTCTCTTAGATGTTGCTATGTACGCCTTTTTCGGTACGTATGTTCGCCTGGTGCCATGTACGTATATGCACCATAAGCATTCTGTATTACCACCATAATGTATTCTGTATTTATTTTACTTCTTCTTTTTTCGTGAATATCAACAACGTGTGCGAGTTCAACAGAAGACAGAGCACACCAATTAAAATGACGAAAAATAAGAAAAATGTGTATACAAAAAAAAAAGAAACAGAGAGAGAAGGGTAATGAATTTGATTTAACGAGAAAGAAAAAACAAATCTTGAAAATAACTTGTCCACGTAACGATTTTATGAATTGGTAAAACCATTCGAATATATTTTAGTTGTCGGAATTGTTGCTAATTCGCTTACGCTCATTAATTCTACGTCTATCTCTATCTCGTTGAGTGTTGTTGTTTAATTTTGTATGTATAAAATGTTCACACTTTGGTATTCGGTGCTCAAAAACGTGTTTTCATGTCATCACATTCAATCGTTCATTCACTTTGGCTCCAAATAATTTTTTTCTCACTCCTTTTTGAAAGCCCGCCGCATGCATTCAACACTCTTCAAAATCAAAAAAAAATGTTTTTCTTCTTCTTTTTCGCATTTGACTGGCGCGATTTATTATTATTGACGTAAGAATGCAACTTTATCAGTGACGATGCGCACGTTTTCCTCTTCCATAGTTCCTTCTACACCGAAACACACAGTTATGAACAGCAACAAAAAAAAAAACAAATCAGCGAGATAATACAATGCGCACCTTGCTCATCATTCTTCTCTTTTTCGCTTCTTTTGCTTTCAGTCAATACAATTAAACATCCGCTTCGAAACTACTTTGAACAACAAGCGAATCGTCAGAGTTCGAATGATATTTTTCATGATTCATGTAAGCAATGATAATAAAAACAGCTCAAAGAGAGTAAGTAGCATGGTTGCAATGGAATAACACAGCAACAGCTCAATAAATATAAATGACGGGCATATGTGTATAAATATAAATATATTGTCGACTCACAGTGGCAAAGGCGCTCGACGATGATGACGATGGTGATGGACACGCAGAGAGCAACGCACTTTGAGAACACATACAAGAAATACACGGAAAAAATATAAACAGCCTAACTTAAATAGCAGAAGAAGCAGCAGCAGCAGCAATAGTAGCACCAGAAAAAAAAACACATTCAATACACAAACAACAATAACAGCAGCAACTGTAGAGCACGAATTTTCCGTGTGTAATCACTATAAAATTGAGAAGTACAAAATATAACAGCTATGACGATGATGACGGCGACCGTCGTTGCTAGCTTGAATTGTTTGATGCCGCCGATCTCACTTTACACATTTCATATTTTTTTCTCTTTTCCTTCTTTGAGATTGTGATCGGAACAGATTCTTTTTTTCTTCTTCTTCCGAGTAAATCAAGTTGTTCAATACACTTTCAATTGGAAATAGTTTTCATTTTGGATGAAATTAGTGATGACCCAATTCCGAATGCGGTTACTTTCTTTTATTTTTTTTTTTTGCTCAACTTCTTTCACAAATACAAGTCGTTCACGAATTGTATGATACGCAAAAAAATAAATTCACGTTGAACCAAATAACAATTTTTTTTGTCGAGGTTGTTTTCGTTTGAACTTCGTTTTTACTGTTCAACTGTCACACAATACGGAATTTCGATAACACAGTTAAACATATAAAGTTGACAGACCCCAATCAAAACATATATCCATATAAAGAAAAAAACCGAAAAAATGTTCAAACGAGTCTCATTTACGGCAATTCACAAATATCACTGCATTTACAAGCATGGATTTTCGCTTTTTCGCTCGTTTTGGTTTTTTTTATTGGCGATTTGGTGTGTCGAGAGATAAAAATGCGCGTGATGAATAAATGGTGCTTTCCACCAATTGAATCAACTGTGAAACAAAATTCTTTTTTTGACTGCCTGTTCTTGGATAGCATCCACGAAAATGCTAAAATTCAATTCAAACACACATACACTGTAAATTCACTTAAAATTTGTGAAATTCGTTTTGAAGAAGCAAAAAAAAACTGATGAGCCGTTTCGTTTTTAAATGCGTTTCAACAATAGAAAAATATGCGAGAACTCACATAACCGTACGTACAATATTCCAGCAAATAAATAAATACATATATATTATATATTTATGTTTGTTTTGTTTGATTTGCTACTATCAATGCAAAGTCGTTTCTTGTTGACGTATTTGGTTTGTGTGTTTTTATTTTTTTCTTTAATTCTCCTCTCTCGCTTCTTTTTTTTCGTGTGTTAATTTTGCGTCACTTACTCGTCTTCACTGGTGAAATAGAGTTATACGCAAATAAGTATTCTTTGTCACAGTGTACAATTCATAGAAAAAGAAAACACACATATCATCGATCAACACTTGGAATGTCAAATAATATGAAATTCTATTTTTCTCAGTTCATCGTCACGAGCCAGACACTTCGACCTACAACGGTACGAATTGAAGACATGCACACGAGATTGAGAGAGAGAAAGAGAAAAAAAAATACGAATTAAATTTCACCCACATCGATTTATTTTGCACAAATTTTCATACACTCGTTCACAAAAACATCAAAATTGCTAGCAACTTTGTGCATTGTTTGCAATATAAATTCCGTAATTTTCTCAAATGGAAAATAATTCGATATATTTTGAAATTTGCTTAGCCACACTTTGTTTTTGACATTTAAATCACACAATTTTCGGGCGATTTGTTTTTTTTTATTCTTCACACTGCTTTTTCTTTTTCACACACCAATCACCAAACAATTTTTATTTATTGTTTGAAACTTTTTCTTCGTACTTTATTCAAATGGAACACATTCAATGGGTTATTATATATATATATATTTTAATTATTTTGTTGTTACTATAAATGCTGTTTTCTTTTCGTGTTTTCTCTGTATGGCTCTCTGATATATCGAAGTTTGTATGCGAACTGACTTAAGCTCGGGACGAAGACGAGCTGTATGTTGCTATATTGCTCATTTACAATGAAATTAATTTAATAAACATGGCGAATGTCCCGACAACGACAAAGACGACGAATAGCTACATGATAAAGTGGCGAAGACAACGACACAACCGAACCGATTCGATGTACATGTGTTTGTGTCAATGGAAATATTTTCGAACAAAAATTGGTTTGTGCCGTGTTTGTGTGAACGTTTTGTTGATTTCTTTGGAGCGGTTCATCGGTTCGATACGAACGGTTGCGAGAAATGCTGCTTACAAAAGCTGTTTGGTTTTGATTTCCAACGCTGCTTTCATCGGCCACTGTCTGTGCCTGTACATGCGTTATGAGTTTTTTTCCCGCTTTCACAGAAGCAATTCAAAAACATTGCTATTCATTGTACGTCATTCGATTTGCAAAAAAAATAACATGCTGCAAAAACATAAGATTTTCACATAAATTTGATAATTTTATTTGAGTTTGATCAATCTTTTTCGACATCAAATATGTTTTCGCATCAAAAATCTAAATAAAATACCGAATTTTTACTTTTTAATTTCGAATTTATAAATTATGATATGAAAAATTCAAATGATCTTGGTTTCTATCACATTTTTAAATTCAATTAAGAATAATTTTCTATTTTAATCCAATTATTTAGAATCATATTCGTTTAAATAAAGTAAAAAAAAATATTGAAAAATAAATTCTAAGCAATAATTTTTGGAAATTGGTCGTCATCGGGCAATACTATACACAGTTCAGCACATTTGTGTGTTTCTGCTCATGATAAATATATGTTGAACCGATTCGATTGTTATTGTTATTATTCCAGTGCAAACAAATACATGCACACGTTTGCCACTACCGACGCCAACCAATACACACTTAACCACCGACACTGTTGAGACACAATTCGCTTCAGCCAATATAAAGCGGTAGATATGTTGCCAACCAGACGTATGCATGTGTTGTGCATGAAATTTTATCGAATCTCTTTTGACGCAAACACACACTAAAAAGAAATGTATGTGTGCTCGTATGTGTGTAGAATATATGTGGACAACAAGCAATAATATTCTAAAAATGGAGAGGAGCACCCGAATAACACACTGTTTATTTATAATGTACGATGATATGCGCACGTATATTCGAAATTTTTTATGGCCATGCAGATACAGTGAACATATCATATATGTTCACTGTATCATATATGTTATAGCTGACAACGACCACACAACGGCATCAATTTCACAAGTTGAATAAACTCAAACATGTCTCGAACACCTGCCGCATTACAATAAAGTGTCGCTAGCTCTTCTCATTTGAATCACAGTGCACTGTGTACATTCTCCAGTATTTTTTTTAATAGTTTTGCAAACGAAACGAAAAGGGGCAAGAATTAACATAAATAAGACAATTGCGACTATAGCGACTACTTACCATGACTATTCGACCATAAAAAATGTGTATTGAAGGCAATTTTGTGCGAGAGATAGAGAAATAAAAACGTTTCTATGACAGACAATTTTATGATAGTTGCATTCTTCTAGAAATTACCTTGGAAAAATGTTATTTTTGTCAAATGCTCATTTCATCGGTATTTCACGCCGATTTATTATTGATTTAAAACTATATATATTTTTTTTTAATGGATCATTAAAAGTCACGTTCAATTCCAAAGACATAAACGGAAAAATATGAAAAAAAATTGGGAGAGAAAAACACGAAAATAATTTTTCAGAAATTATTTTAATAAAAAATTATTTAGTTAAAATACATTTGGAATTTGTGTGAAATTTATTACAGTTTTTTTTTTTAAATCATCGAAAATATACGCTTTGAGCACATTTTTCGGTAAGAACATCAATTGACCATGATGCAGAAGAGAAAGGCTCAAAGCAATAAAAGTGTTTTTCTTTTTTCAAAATAAAAAAGTCGTATAATCAAAGTCACCATATCAAATTCATTTCAATTTTCCTAGCTTCGATATGGTTCCACTGATTATTAAAAACCCAAAGGTTTCTTCTGTTTTTATGAAATGTATTCTTTATTTTAAGTATGCTTTGATGAAAAGAAAATTACAATTGGTTCAAGATTTTAAAGAAAAAAACATTTTCTGACCAAATGTGTTATTAAATGCGTTTTTTTGCTTCTTTCAGACAAATTTCATATCATCGAGAAAGAATCAAAAATATTTGTTTTATATCATAACGATATTGTCATGTTTCGATACATTCGGATAAACAGTAAAATGTGTTCTTTTGTTACAACAGTTTTGTTTTCGGAAATAAGGCAAAAGAAACATTTCTGAAAATAAATTGTTGATTGTACCAAATGAAATGTCATGACTTCAACCTTAATGTTCTTTTACTTATTAATATGGCGGTAAATCTACTTTGTAAGAGGAATATTCCAACAATGGTATATATTAATTCATCGCTCCATAATCGTTGCAGCATTTGATTGGTTGTAAAGAAATAAGAAAATCGATTGTGATTCAGCGGCGTCCTCCTCCGCGTCCTCGGAAATTATCACGGAATGCACCACGTCCCCGCTTATTCATAGTACCGACCCCAGCTCGGTTGCCAAAATTACCGCTGTTGCTGTTGAATATGTTTGGACGTTGCTGCACATCTCGGTCATCTTGGTCTCTAAACATCAGGTCATCGTCTGCTGGCATGTTTCGTTGTTGAAAACTGGGCTGCATTGTAATTAAACGTTCTTGTTCCATCCGGCGTTGTTCTTCATAGCGACGTTGGCTTATTTCCAGTTCAAGTTCTCTTTGACGTTCCATCTCGAGATATCTCTTCCGCTGCATGTCTTCATCATTGTCTTGGCTGCGCATTCGTTGGTGATATGGGCTGTCTGTTCCACGGCCATCTATTCCACGAAATCGATCGTCGGTCATCATAAAGCGTTGCCTGTCATCAATTGCACTGCGATCATTTTCAAAACTTCTACCGCTCATATTACTTCCATTGAAACGTGGACTATTTGAACGGCGGCTAAAATCCCTTGACGATCCTTCGCCATCATACTTATCGGCCCTGCCTCTGTAAGATTGTTCCATAAATGATGGCGAATCATCGATACGATTGTCCTCCACAGCATTTACAATATCGGCATCACGTTGCGACAAACTATAAATATCCATTAATCGTTCACGCATTTTATACATTTCATCTGTGTTGCGTGGACGGGGCTCATCGAAAATATTTGCAAAATCTTTGATGGCCACCAGTTGTGCGGCCGTCATTCGGCTTAATATTTCAACGATTGGCTCCCGATAATCTTTTTCGTTTGTTTGAACGCCAATCGAAATACCACGAAAGAATGTCTGCGAATTCGCATTAACCATTGTACGTTTTTTTCGTTCAGTGCATTGAGTACATTCATATTTGGTTGTTTGTATGCCAATTTCGGCAGTTTCAATTATTGGATGCGGTATGGTATTTGTTTGGATTAAAATTTCACCAGTTTTGGGCGGCTCCGCATCCAATTCGGCATTTCGGTAAATTTGTTCGGTGATTTGTGCGTTCAGTTCTTTTGTTCGCATTTTTTCAAATAAAAAACTGCTATTGATTCCAAGCGATTGTGCAACATCTTTAACGCGTTTTGGTAACATTTTCAAACCGTTATTTGTCAATGGTAAGTTCGTTGATTTTGCATTCATTTTGAATGTTACATTTAAAGCGGAATGTGTTTGAAGTGGTGAACTGCTAACCGTTTTGCCGGCCACATCATTTGACATAACCATCGATGTACGATTGTATTGAAACTTCATCACCGGCACTTTATTATCCTTTGCTCGAATTAGTTTGATTGCTTGTTCACAACGATCAATTAATGCTGAAAACATACGTTATATTTATCGTTTGATTCCAAAAATTCGGTCAATTGATTAATTGTTTTGTCTTTTTTTTTATTAAATACAAAGATTCGATTTTCATAAACTCATTTTTCAATCCATCTAAATATTCAAATTGTCTTCCCTTTTCCCTATGAACCCTATTTTGAGCTTATGAAAAACCATGTAAATTTCACAAATTACAAGTCGAACGAACATCACATACCTTTTTGATTGTTCGACGTAATCGCCGACATGTCGTCGGCTTGTTGTTGTAATAGTGGATTGGGCGTCACTTCAGGGAGTTGTATAGGTGCCGGAAACTGAAAATTAAATGAAAAATTTAATATGTCAGTCAATTATGATTTTATATCAATCTGAGAATCAAACTCACGGGTGTCGGTTGCGGGAGAATTGCGTTACCAGCCATGATGCTCATCGGATTGATGCCATAAAACATATTTTGTGATTGTCCAAAACCCATTGGTTGTTGTTGTGGAAAATTCATGGGAATCATTGATTGTTGATCAAATGGTGCGACATTTCCAAAATCCATTGGCATCGGTTGATCCATGCCGATCGCATTGTTCATATGACCATGGCCTCCCATTAAAAGTGCATCTCGTTCTGGAAATGCTTGTCCTTTTTTTGCAAACGTTTGTGCCAATTCATCTAAAAATGATAAATTTCGATGGGTAGATGATGAACGTTTGGTATGAGGACGCATTGGTGATTTGCTACGACTTCGACGAACTTGTCTTCCGCGTATCGGTGACAATGGATACCGTTTCTCCCTTATGTATTCATCAAATCGGCCTTGTTTTGACGTACTTGGTGGACTACGTTCGGAACTTCTCGATCTTCGTCGATCTTTTCGATCGGAGCTACGTGATCGTCTTCGTTTGCTTCCCTCTCCTTTAATTCGATGGCGCCGGCGGGACCGTGAATTTGAACGACTACGTGATCTTGATGAGCGACGACCATCACGTGCTTTCAAATTGGCTTCGGTTTCTTTTATTTTTTGTTTTCGTATTTTAATATCATTTTGTAGCCGATTGATTTCGTTTACATAGGACATCAAATCGTCATCACTTTCATCTACCACGCCCTTTTCTATTACCTTATCAATAAAATGTTCGTCGGCGAGATCCGCGAAAAAATCGTCAGGCAAGTCAACTTGCTCTTCGGCTTCTTGGTTTGGATTCGGCATTTTTTGTGCATTTACAATGTACTTACGTATCTACTACCCGAAAGTTAAAAAAAAACACAAGCCCTTAAAACTATATCAAATGCCTCCAGTCAATGTCGCAAAAAAAAAACAATTCGTTAAAAAATGTAACCTAAAAACGTTTATCCGACAAACAAAATTTCACAACGTTTACTTAGATTGTATCGCAAATGAAAAGTACACCGATGAAAATATGCCTGACATAAGCAAAATCTTTCTTATTGTATTTTGTGTTTGCCTCAATTCCAGGAAAAATACGTTCAAAATGTAATGTCGCAAAAAATGTGATTTATTTCTTTAGGCAATGATTTGCATACAGAAACTATACGCGAGAAATGTTTTAAATTGTTTTTATCCTTTTTCCGCTACAAACGCAATATTTTTCGTTTGGTATGCATTTAGCTTTGATAATGACACTTTTAGTGCGAAATGTCAATCAGACATGAAGATGAACACGTTCTATAAGCATATGTCATATGTCAAATGTAGACGATTCAATGTGAAGTTGGCTCGGCTCGACTTTGCACAATACGCATTTTAAATTATTTTCAACCAAATTAATGTTTGAAATAATTATTCTTCAAGGAAATGCTAGAGGAAATGTAATAATAAACAATAAAAATAAAAAATGAAATAAAAAAAATATGTTTCGTCACGAATCCACATCTTATACTCCAATAAATCACTTTTTAATAATCTCTGTCAATTGTATAATATAATTTTATATGGTTCAATATGTTTTTTTTTTTTTTTCAAAACAAAAAAATCATTGTTAGTTGATTGCCTTAATTTTATTGCTCTTTGATATCGATAGCGTATATATAGCCGGTTATCCTTTTATATTCCAATTTTAACCCAATAAAACTTTTCTCATCATGATACCACTAGCGCTTGAACTGGAGCTTGGTTGTGGCTCGGTATTGCGATTCACTCCTTCAATACATCTAAAAATTGCGCAGAAAATGAAAGATCCAAGAAGAATATTTTGGTTGTTTTTTTATAGGACTAACTAAATTTTTCCAAAAAAAAGCTATGCATCGAAATATACTTACTTTGATGAGCACAAATATTGTAGCAGTGGAATGCGATATTTTCCACAGAAATCAACAAATTTAATGTGCTCGATGCGATTATCAAAGAAAACACCTAAAAATAAAGCACATGATTTATATCGAGATCGAATTCCAATATTAAAAATAGATGAAAAAATATACCTTTGCACTTTGGATTTACGCAGCAGTGCGCGGTATTCAAATAGTCGGTCATTGATTTCGGTAATTCGTGTGGTTCAAACGGAACGCTTGCTGTACGAATTACTCGTGCCGACAGCTCAAGCAAGCTTGGTGGATGCAATGATATTTCCTGAACGAATCGTACAACCAATGGATTTTCTCGCAACGAAAGCTGCACCAAAATCAAATAATTGAGAGAATTTCATTTTACTATCAATTTTAAACCGTTTTCAATTAAAATTCACTCACTTCGACTAGATTTTTCAATGTTATAATGTCACGCGGTAAATGACGAAGCCGATTTTTATGCAAAAGCAATGATTTCAAATTGGTAAGACGTGCTATATTGGCCGGCAGTATTTCAATTAAATTATCACATAAAGTCAGTGCCTGCAATTGTTGAAGATTTCCTACGGTGTCGGGTACGTCCGCAATAAGATTTCCACCCAGAGATAATACGTTTAAACTACACACAATAACGGAAATTAAATTGGAAGAAAAAAGGAAAATTTAAGAATGGCAAAAGAGATAAAAAAAATTATAACCTGCTGGAAAATAATAATAAAAAATATATATATTTTTTGCTAATCTGATCAATCTGTGGCACTACGTAAAACTACGTAAACAAGTCAACAAAAAATAAGAACAAGTTACATCTGTTACGAGGCAATAAAAAAAGCGGTCTTGCTATTCCGCTAAAATATATCATTTGCTCGTTTATAACGGGCAACAAAGTATACATGCAACGATACGGTTCAAATCATATGACAATCAAACAGTCAATGATTTTAATAATAAATAAACCAAGAAGTTGAAAAAAAAAATCGAAAACACGAAGCGCACAAGTGCACTTTAATCTACCTTTGCAATCGCCAAATCTCTTTTGAAATGCTGGTGATTTTGTTTGCGCCCAAATACAAATATTTCAAGTTGTTGAGTTCGAGTACTGCATCTGGAAAATGTGTGAGTAGATTGCCGCTTAAATTCAACTCTCTGAGACCGCTCTGTTTGATTGAAGATTTAAAGCATTTCGGCAATGAACTATTTGTCAGCAAATTATTTTTCAAAATGAGTTTTGTCAACAACGGGCATATTTGAAGCAAATTCGCTGGCAATTGTGTCAAACCATTCGAACTGAGATCCAGCACATGCAAATTATTGAAATGACTCAATGTTTGCGATGGCAATGTTGTAATCATATTGTGATTGAGTAAGACCGTTTCGATGTCGGTTAATTTACTGATTTTATGCAAATGGCTTAGGTTTTCTTCTAAACATTCAGATGTCAATCCTAATCGACCATAATCGAGCGTTTTCTGTTCGTGCGAATCACTATCGCTGCTGTCCGATGTATATACTTCCATGTTGTTCAATTTATTGGAATATTTCTATTTTACACGATACGAAACTATCAAGCACACTTAGTTAAGTCTGTGTCACTAATCAAATGATTCAAATGTTTAGTGTTTTTTTTTTTTGGCTTTGTCTCCATGTACGCAGTAATCCAAACTTGCGTGCAGAAAACCGGCACCAGAGATGATTTTTTCCCTCTCCCGCTCGCTTAGAATTTTAAAACTTCATTCAATTCAGACACGGTATACGAGAGACACGAGCACGAAAAACCGTACAGAGTGAACACGACGATATGTTGATTTAAACTATCTGCTTGAATTGAATTGCGCTTTGTTATTACATTCACTTATGGATTAAAATTTATATACACACAGTTTATCAATATATTTAGCGATTTTAAAAGGCGCGTTGTTTCGAAGGCGGAATGCGCAAGACATTTGTTGTCAATCGAATCCGTTTTCGACACCGTATGGATCTTCAGTGTATTGCTTGTGATAGCAACACTTAAAATTTCTTACGAATTCAAACACAAACGACATAATATATGTGTGATGTGTGTATATATTACATCGTATACTGCTTAGCACTGAAGATGACTTTTATCGATAAGTGTTTGACTCTCTCTGTTTGACTATTTTCACCTTTCAACAATTTGACTTTTTTTCTTCTCTTTTTTGTTTGTTTGCTTTACACCACCTACGATTTCAATCTGCTTTGATTTGGATATTGATGTCACGCCGAATTTACATGAAACGATAACAATAGGCACACTATGCATTTACTGGAGAGAAAAAAAATCACAGTTTTAATTCAGATAATTTAATGTCAAATTCATTCACGTTCGTTCACACTTAAAATTTTTTAAATCGAGTAAACAGAATGTCGAAATCTCAGCCTTAAAATAAATCAGTCGACGTAAATTCGTTTGATACAATTGAAGTGTCGATTGTTTGGAAATTGTTTTTGAATTCGTTTTCGACAGATTTTGATGCGCTTTATTCACAATACGCAGTCACCATCGATAGTGGCCGTTCTTTTTCATACACTCAAATCAAATGAACTGAAGTGGCAATGAATATCATTGGTTCGGCCCATTTAAAAAAAATCCACACAATTTTATAATTATAAAATGCTACTCAAGTCCGAGCCATTCGTTATGACTGTGTAAGCAGTTTTGTTGTTGTTTCTGCTGTTATTTTTGTTGTTTCAACTTGGCATTTATTCGTCGTCGTCGTCGTCGTTGTCGTTTGTTGTTATCATTCGTTTCATTTTCAACGAATTTTTTTTATTGTAATACATATATCATCGTTTTATACAATCACGCACATTATATTATGGCTGGCCAGAGTTCTTTAACGTGTGTGTTTGCTATGTAAATTCCTCGATCGAAGCGAATACAAAATCAACACTTGAATAAATATATACAAACGAGGTTTTGTGCAAATTTTTCTTACGAACCTCTCGATGTTTTGACTAATTTATTTTTATGAGATTCTGCTCCACTTGATTTAAATATTTAAAACTCCCATTTGTTGAATTGAATCAAATTTGTAAGTAATTTTCGATCAAAAATTAAATATTATACTAATTATGAGGAAAAAAATTCTCTATGGAGAACCGATCATTTGATATGAGTCTGAATAATAGCCACATGTATGTCATGATGACTTAGCTTAAGCTTATCATTGTTGATTCAATAGAAATAAGTTCAAAGAGTACATATTCATAGCATAGCATAGGGTGATAGAAATTTTGCAAAATAAATCGTAGTATTCGTCAGGCATGCATAGGGAGCCTATGTTTTAATATTGTTATGAGATTTTGTGGACAAAATATGGCTCCAGGTGGCGTATAGTCAACTTTTCGTTCATTTTACTTGCCCTGGGCTGTATTCCTGAAGCTTCGTTTTCGACAAAGAGAGTTTTCTAGCTATTTTTAAAAATCATAAAACGTGTTGTTTTTTCATTATTGAGAAATGAGTCTTAATAACTTATCGCGCAAACATGTTTTTTTCGCATTTATTCTGGCGCTTCAAATTTTTTTCCATGAACGAAAGAATACTTTCAAAATTCTTTCATTTGTTTAAAATGATGAACAAACATTTTGTTTTCGCATCATTTACCACATTTTTTATGTGTTTATAAAAAAAAATCACAAATTAAAGAATTTTTGAAAAAATACAAAAAATATATAAATTGTTGTGTAATCGCTTTACTAACGGTAATCAAAAATATTTGCGATGCTTTTTGGCAAATAAGAATGGGAATATTAGCAATTTGAACTTTGAACAAAAATGAAATTGCTTGAACTTGATTGTAAGAAGAATATTAAAATATTTGTATTACGAATAATCAATAGCAATTTAAAATCTATTTTGAGTGCATTTATCATCATTTCGAATTTCAGCAAAAGGAATGTGTCCTCTTATTTTTTCGTTGACTTTCTCAAATTTTTGCAGTAGTGTGAGCTTGGGTGCAATGCAAAGTGTGCACTGTGCACACAGACGGACCCCATAGCTTACAAATCACCAAATCATTTGCGTTGACTCGAGGAAGTACCGAATGAGACAGAGAAAAATACAATTAATTAATTTACAACGTTTTATCACTGAACAAACAAATTGTCTTTCAGACTGATAACGTTTTCTCTTTCTCTGTGTTGATATTTCATTTTTTTCGCAATCAGTTTCTTTCTCCTGTTCTCAATTGCGATCGGCTTGAATTGTTTTTTACTGCGCATATTAAATGAAATGATATGTGATTCAAATGTGTGTCGTTTTCATTTCTTATTTTTCCTTCTTTGTCTTTCACTCAATGACCTTTATCGCGACTGCACATGTGTGACGCTGCATGTTGTGTACAATAATAAACTAGACTGACGTACATTTGGCTCATTCCAAGACATTGATAGAAAAATCACAGCGCCTACATTTTGTTTGCCTATCCTCATTCATATTGCATAAAGTAATTGAAATTCGTGACAAGTAAACGTATCTTGTGACATTCTGTTTGGTAGTGGTTTTTTAAAACTGTAATAAAACAATTAATCAGTTTAATTAATTTTTCAAGTCATTTTTGTTTATTTGAAATTTTTCAGAATTATACAAGAATTCAATCATACAATTTTATTTTCGTTTTTTTTTAAATATATATTTAAATATACTTCAGCTAAAGGGGTTGTTTATTATTCATTGGATTTTTGTTTATTCATAAATAATCATAACTTCGCTTATTCATTGAAAATATGAATAAAAATTGTATATATTAAATTTTCGATAATTAACTTAAATTGGTTCGATAAAATAGGTGATTTGCTATATATATAAAGATTTTTTTTCTTTTTTTTTTTCAAAAAAAAAAGATGATTCAACTGCAACGGATTACGAAAGAGTCCAAAATAGTGATCGTTCTTAATATGCTCACCATATCGTTTCTATGCCATGACACACAAGATCAATATACTAATAATCATTTTTTCAATCGGTTCAATCACGATCAACTTTTGCTCTCTGAAACTTTCCTCGTGTATGAAGAATGATGAAAACAAAAAGTGAATCGGAATTAAATGCGGCTATTTTCCTAAAATTATTTTCGGTGTCCCTTCAAATGTCGGACACAATGATCGTGTCGGGGGTGTGTTGTTTCTGTTTGGTCTTTTTTTGTTATGATTGAATTTTATGCATTTTTCTGCAAAAAATTGAGTTGAATGGACTAATATAGCATTTATAATTGTTTATGCTGCCAAAAATAGTGAGTGGATAATTAAATCTCTCGATATTGATGCTATCATATTGAATCGTGTGGCATTTTTAATTTTTTTATATTCTGCGCGTGTGTTAACACTTTGTTAACTCGGTATATACATACAATTTGCTAACAATTCTGTAGATTGTAAATTTTTTCTTGCCCATTTATTTGATATTTTTTTTATGTATTTGATAACTGTGCAAAACGTAGCCGAAAATAATGAACAAATATAAAATTATAAAAAAAAAATCGAAAAATAATTTTTTTTCAACATTTCTTTTTTCATAATTTTTTATTTGTTCATTATTTTCGACTACGTTTTGCAAAATTCTATATGTTTGACGTATGGTGTTTTTCTTCTTGTCGGAATTATTTGGCTGTATGTGTATATGTATGTTTTAATCGAATTCATTTTTCATATTAATGAGTGCGTGTGTGTGTGTGCTATTTTTTTAAAGAATTAATAACTTCACATTCATTGCTTCTTTCTAACTTTCTAATATCTATTAGATGTTGATATAAATTACGGCGTAAAATGGAATTTTGAAAAAGAATTCGTGGCAATTTTTTATGTGTCCAATTTCATATGGAAATAAAAGATGGTGATCAAAATAATTTTTAGCTTTTTTATTTGTCTCTCTTAGAATAAAAAGAACAATATATAATAGGTTTTCCATGTTGTTTTTTTTTTGTTGTTTTTCTTTACTTTTCATGCGTTAAATATTTATAAATCGATAATTTTTTTTACAATTAAATAAAATAAGACAAGACAGAACAAAAGAAAATAATAATAATAATAAGAAAATCTGTCGTCTATGCCATGATTTAGTGTATGCATTAAATATGTATTGAACCTCCGTTAAAATAGTGTGTGAGTATTAGGGTGGCCACGGTGTTTTGGAGTTACAGTTTTGGTCCAGACACAATTTCCAGTCGAACAATATTGGATTTGTTTAGTTTAAATTTTTATTTTAAATAGAATAACATCACATTTAAAGGAGGCGAAATGGAACTAGGCTTATGAGCTCCGTCAAAAGCGACATGTTTTCATTTATTTTCTTTGTCGGATAAAATTCAATCAGTCTATCGCTATACAAAATTTTGACTATACTAGTATTACGATAAAAAGTTCAGATTTTTTCATAAGGAAAAAAAAACCAACATATCGTTATCGCTAGTGCTCACACGTGCATATATCATGCATTATAAACAGTGGTTCAAGCCTTATTGCAAAGAAAAATTTTCGAGAAAAAATCAAACTTATTCTTTTTCAAGTCAATAAAAAAGGGTTGTAGATTTCTTTGCGATTTTTTTTAAATGAAAAAAATGCAAAGTTCTCCTTTGTGTATGTGATATAAATATGAATGGAATCCAATTTTGATGAACTACAGATTGCACAACATCTAACTCTAATAAAACCGTTCTTCGAGCCACCCTATTTATTGAGTAAATCTGCTCTTACTATGCGATTTTTTTCGTTTTGTTTGTTGTTTTTTTACAAATAATCATTTAAATACTAGTCAAATAATAACATTTCAATTTCAATTGTATAAGTTCATTAAATAGTTCACATGCGCGTGGCCTGTGCTGTATTTGCATGCCTAGTCAATGTGGTAGCTACTTAGCTGAAGTTGTGTGGGCTGTTGATTTTTTTTTTCACGTTTTTTTTTCGCTTCCTTTCGCTATTTGATTATTTAAAAACGTAACACTAAAAGGTATTTAAAATGTAGTTTAATAATTGCTGTTATTTGCTTTGTTTTTTTTATGTACTTTTCATAGTCAAATGTTAGTATATTCATTTCTCGTGTCGCGTTTAATTTTTTGTTGTTTTTTTTATTCTTTTTTATCGCTTTTTTACTCTCATTACCTCATTAGACTGCTTACATTTTATCGTCTAATTTTATATTAAGATAAAAGATAGATAGATTTATAGTATCTATTTAAACTTGATTTATTTCTTGCTAATTTATTTAATTTTTTGTAATGATTTTTTTTATTTTTTTTTTTAATCCATACATATATTTATAGAATTCATACATAAATTGTTTTTGTGTTGTGTTTTGTTGTTATACCTATGTCATATTATTTTTTTTAGTATGTTTTTTTTAACTTTTCATTTAATAATTTGTTGTCGAAATCTTCGTTTACATGCATGTGATTTCAATTATTTCTAAGGAGAGTTAAGACTATTTCATTTTCCAACTATATTATGTAGTGTGTTTTGCTGATGGTTTTTACTTTTTTTACTCTATAAATTTACGTTTTTTTGTGTGTGTGTGTGTAAATAGAATAATTATTCAGTTTTTTTCGTTTCTTTTTTTTAAAATTATAACGTGTGTGTGAATGCTTTTATTTGTGTTCAACTTCTCTTTCCGTTGCATTTACTGTGGTAGTAATAGTAGTGTTGTTGTTGATGCTTTGTGTACGAACAAAAAACTCAAATGATTTTTAAGATATCTTTATTTTAGTTTGTTTTTTTTTTTTGTTCTAGCTTAAAAAAATGCCTATTGCTAAAACTAGCAGTGAGTTCATCTTTGTATGTTCTCCTTATGTAATAGATCTTTAACGCTCGTTTCTTTGATTTCAATTAAATGTGTTTTGTTTTTCTTTTTCTTGTGAGAGTGCGAATACTTGCTAACCACATTAATTAGCACAATTTTCGATACGATCTTCGTTTCTCTCTGTCTCACTTTCTGTCTTGCATCTCTATTCAATTTTTTTTTGTTATACTTATAGTTTTTGCCATTTGCGTCGCATTTTATTTAATTCTAAATTGGCTTACGTGTTTTTTTCTCTTCACATTCATTAAATAAAGTTCATATATAATTGTTACAATTTGTTTCTTTTCTCTTTATTACTGTACAGAAGTTCAGAACAAATTATTCCGCGAAATTTGATTCGAACGGCCAAGGAAAAAATAACAGTTCGTTGGTTTAACGGTTTGGAACAATTTTTTTCTTCTCTTTCTTTTTCAGCAGAATGTGTAACTTCAATCCTAATAATTAGACGTGTAGTTTTCTTTTCATTTTGTATCTCAGTTTTATAACATTTGACAACAGTGATGACTTTTACTATATTATAATTAATCAATTGTGATCTTATAACGCCGCTGTTGCTGCATCCGTCGTTCGTCGCAGCGCGCACAATTATATATGTGTATGTGTGTGTGAACGTGCGCGCACGCACGACTTAAAGAAATTATTCGTTACTACTTAAAAAAAGAACAAATGAAGAATAATCATCGATACGAACTTTTGCACATTTATAGTTTATCTCATTGTTGTTGCTGTTTTTATGTTGGTTGTTGTTATTATATTTATATATATATGTTTCGTTCATGGCTTCTTGTAATCAGTGTTTTAAATAATTTCTGTGTTTAATGCTTGTTTTTTTACTTTCTTTCTTTATTGTTTCATTCTACTGTGTTAATTATGATTTTATGGGCCTTCGTTTGAATTTGGCTAACCTAACGAAGCTGTTGTTTGACTAGTGCTGTTTGATGCAGCATTTGCCGTTGAATCGGCGGCTGCGGTTGTCGCTGATGACGATCCACTTGCCGCCTCTCCGTTTCCGCCAGACGAATTTTGGCCGGATGTTGATGTCGTTGCTCCGGTCGTGGCTGAAGATCCTATTAAATGGAGACAAACAATACAAATCAAGATCCATTGTAATTGCATTTTGTTTATTAGATTTTATTCTTTTGTCATTTTCAACATACCACTTGGACTTTGAGTCGGTGCATTTGAACTCGAACCGGCCACTGCCGCTTTGTCTGACGCACTCGCAGCATCATTTTGTGTTGAATATCTTGGCATCAGACTTGCATTTAAACTAGGTTGGATAGCTAATTCTGTACGATTTATAAAAAGAATTTCATTAGCATTTACTGATGAAAGATTGATGAATGGTATAAAAAATCGCGAGGCAACAAACCTGCTTCTGTGAAGTTGAATAGTGGTGGTAAATCTCTTCCGTTTGGAAGTTGTTGATTGGATTCTCGTAACTCGTTAAAGAACGGATGGGCGCATGCTTGCAATGGAGTGATTCGTGCACTTGGTGTATATTCTAATAGCCGTGATACCAGCTGAATTGCATCTGGAGGTGTACGAGCACGGAATACCTACGTTTAAATGAAAACAACAAAATATTCCATTAAAAAAATGAAAAAAAAAAACATGGTAAAACAACAAAAAATGCAACAGCAATGTATAAAATATTCTCTTTGTATAATTTAAAAGAATAAACGGGGGGAGGGGGTAAATGGGTGTGTATGTTTTCTATTATTTTCTCTTTTCTCTTATTGCTTGCGGTCACTTGTCTCTGATTGAACATATAAATGAAAGTGGAAAAATGGACAGAAACAGTTCTCTTTGGCATTTAACAAATTCGAAACCCTTGTACAACGACATCCAACCCTTATAGATCGTATGGTTTTGATTCGTTTTCTTTACTAAATAATCTTACTCGGAAACGTTGTCGCGGTGTTGTCTCTTTCGTAACATAAGACATTCGCTCAAGCATTAGCTAAAGAAAGAGAGAAGAAGAGAGAAAAATTGGAGAGAAAGATTCGAACAAAAGATGAATGACTGCACTCGCAAAAAAAGAGATTAAAACAACACGATCGTGTTTCAAGATGAATGAGAATAAGTCATGGCTGCTTTTGTGTAAGAATTATTCAACGAGAGAGAAAATATTGAATTATTTTGTGGATTTCGCCTCTCATGACGGTGTGAGTTTGATGTTTAGAAATGTGAAAAGTGTGTAATGGCACAACATGTCTCATTCTAATCAACTGCGGTTAATCCAATACTACAAACACGTTTTTTTTTTGTTGATGTGATGAAAAATGCTTTACATCGACTTTTGTGTGATGGAATATACAGAACCATGCAGAGGTGGTCGCTGTTCCGAATATCCAAAGCTAGTACATGTTTTTGTTTTGTTCTGTTTACAAAGTTATTGCACAGTTGTTATGCTTGATATCATTGGTTAAAAGCAATGGTAATGTACTTTCATCGTTAAAATCATCGTACACCAACACAACATAATAAAACAGATTTTTTTTTTTTTGAGAAACTAAACGTGGCCCAGATTGCTTACCTTTTGCCACGGATGGCTTTTGATTTGTGGAAACTTAAATTCGGTATAGTTGGGATTCATTTCATGAATTTGTTCACGTGTTGGTGTGCCCAAAACTTTGATAATTTCAACAAGTTGATCGACACCAGAATCACCAGGGAAAATTGGTTGTCCAAGTAATAATTCAGCTAGAACACAACCAGCGCTCCAAACATCTGAAAATAAAAGCAAGAAAATTCAATAAAATTAGAATGAGGCAGCAATTAAACACAATCAATTCATGTAAATTTTATCGATTGGATGTCCAAATAATAGAGACCAGCAGAACAGAGCTGCAACGGTACGTATATGGAATAAAAATCGTATCCAACTAAAAACGAAATACTCAATTTTCTGACACAGCTACCACCACTAGTGGTTGGCTGATATGTGGATGAAACTTACCAATTTTTGTGGTATAGTTGATGGCGCCAAATATTAATTCAGGTGCTCGATAATACCTAGAACAAATGTACGAAACATTCGGTTCGCCTGGAAACAGTTGTTTGGCACTGCCAAAATCACATAATTTTAGTATCGCCGTTTCTGGATCCAAGAGCAAATTTTGTGGTTTAATATCACGATGACACACGCCCAACGAATGTATATAGGCTAAACTTCTGAATAGTTGGTACATGTAAAGCTGTAACAAGAAAACAAACAAACATATTAAAATGCAATCGAACGTATTGTCTTCATAATTGAGTCGCATTTTCAAAGAAACTATATATCGATGTCCACGTTGTTCATTGTCAACAACATTGACATCACGTGCAAATAGAAATTGCCATTGATTCAATTCAAATGAATTTCAATTAAAAATGAATGACTATGTTTTTTTTTTTTAAAGAAAAAGCGTTTCTTTGTTTACGAGTCAATTATCTGTCACGCATCGCACTATACTATGAACATTTGATTTGATCAAATCAACGTGATTACTACGAAATTGAAATGTTGAGGGAAATTGTATGAAAAAAACTTTCACTATTTGCTGACACTTATAAATAGTCTAGAATTGAATGAAAAACGACAACATACAATTTTGCAATGTGGCGATCACTGAATTAATTGAACGAAGAAAAATAAGAGATACAATCATGACGCGACACAATTTATCTATTGATTAGAATCGGCCACTATTGCATTGCTGAATGTGGAACGTGTTGTTGCCGTTAAGATTTAAATTGATATTTGATCAAAAATCATGTGCAAATTTTGACGATGACAAATATCAATTGATCCTCGTTAAGAATGTATTCGCAGTGAATTATGATGTATCATTTATTTTTCAGTTTCAATATGCTTAATTCTGACGAGAAACAACACTTACCCTGATATAGTTGATCGGAATTGTTTGTTTACTTTTGGCAAATTGGCGTGCCACTTTGTAAACTGTTTCTGGTATATATTCGAGCACTAAATTCAAATAAACTTCGTCTTTCTGCAAGGAAAATACGTAACAAAAAATCGCATTAATTATGAGTGATTTTTTTGTTGATGTTGTTGATACTGGTTTGGCCTAATTAACAACTCAGCAAAATCGATAAAAAGAGAATTCGTGATAAATTATGATGAACCAAGTCAAATGGTCTGGTGTAAAAGACCAACAAATGCCAAACTAAAATCTATTTATGAAATGTACTAATTTATAATATAAAAGCCATGAATCACTTTGGAAAGTTTGAGAGCGAATGTTTTACTTCATTGTTCGTGTTAAATTTGGTTTTGAAATGATATGAGCAACAAAGTAGATTTGATTTGAGAATGGGAAAATACACTTTATGTTAACATCGAACATATTTTACAGATAACAATATCAAGATGTAAAACAACAAGAAAATGTTGAACACTTTGGAAAAGTTTTCTGAAATCATATAGATTAAAAATCTAAAAATAGATATCAAAATCTATATGGTAGTATCATATAAGGTGTCGAACTTTTTTTCTCGAATTTGACATCTGTCAAATTGTTGTCGGTGCAAAATTTCGTTCACATTTCAATCAGTGCATTGAATTTTTGCATTTGGGTCACAGGTTCGCCAATAAATGTTAAAATATTCATCGATAAAATTTGATAATGGTTGAAATGCAGCAGAGACAAACAAATTGTATGACGTTAGCATTGCAAAGCACGATATATATAAATATAGAAAAAATTACGGGACTTTGAGAAGTGAGCGTTCAATTGGGAATAATTGTTTATGGGTGTATGTGTGTGTGAATACACTCGATCGAAATTGATTTCAATAAATTGGCTACCTGCGATTTTAACGATTCCGAAAAAATTCCCATATCGAATGGGTTGCAGTCAAACTTCATAAGCGCACATGTGTTTTTTTTTGTTTTTTTTTTGTTTTTTTTTTTCAATTTAATTAATAAATGTGCTCATTTTGGATTGTTGGCATTGTGGCCACAACGGACGTTTATTTATTTTGTTCGTTTCATTGAGAACAAAAATTAAACAAAACCAAAGAAAAGAATTCGAAATTAGATTTGAATCAGGCACAATTATTGTAATCTTTTAAATAATAAAGGATGAAATAAATAGAAATAACATCAACATGATTTGTGTTAATGAAATCTTACCTTATCTCCACTTGAATAAAAAAAATATTTAAGCTTAACAATGTTACAGTGTTCCAATCGTCTCATTATTTGTAATTCCCGATTCTGAAAGAACATAAATAAAATGATTACAATTATATTGATGAATAGGGGGAAGAAAGCGGTAACTAACACATAACAATTTGTACAATTGAAATACTGAAAGCCATTATTGAAAATAATCGAGGATAAAAGTTGTTAATATATATCGAAACTATATTTATTTATTCATTCGGCATTCAATTCACGTAAAAATTTGTGGCGCACGAAATTCGGTTTTCATATGAACAATTTAACATATGCTCCAGGACGATAAAGTTTTCAGAATTCAATGGGGTCGCTTTATATATATATATGTATGTATTATCATTTTCAGTTGAAAAGCTTTGGGCCATTTCTAATTGGAAATTCGCCGAATAAATAAAAGAATATATGGGTTTTGACCGCGTTTTTGTTGTCGCTTGAAGCACACAACGCATTTTTTTTTTGTTGTTGACTTTCACTGAACAACTCAATCAATTGATGTGTCACCACATTCCAGGTACAAAGTACACACTGGCCGATGTCATATGAAATATTCACATAATATTATACAACTTCCAAATCGATTTATAATGGTAGCTTTTCATTCAATTTCATCAATACAAATTGAATGAACTTGGCGGTAAGTGATGTCCTTCATACTTTACAGACGTTTAGTCATTTTAATTATTTTCACATCACGTGTCAGAATGAAAGTACTCACTTTAAATCGTCTATCCTGTAAAACTTTTTTAATGGCCACCAATTCGTTAGCCTCAATTAGCTTCGCTTGGAAAACCACACCGAAGCTTCCATTTCCAATAACTCGAGTGTCTGTATATGATACTTCTTGTACACGATCTGATCCTTGGCCGGGGGTAGCTACGACTGTTGTCACCTTTGTTCCATCTTTGCCTAAATTGGAGAGGGGACACAAACAAGAAAAACACGCACTATTAGTTAAATTCATTTGAAAATTACATAGCTCTTCGAAATTAAAACCGAAAATAAATTAACACACACACACAAATACGGATTAAGTAAATAAGACAATTGCGTGTTGAATCACGGACCTTTTATAAATTCCCTAAAGAATATTTTACTAATTTCCATTTGGAAGCGGTGGAAATAGGAGAAAATAATTCTCCTATTAATAATTTTCACCACAATTTTACGCACAATAAATATCAAATGAATAAGACTGATGTCAATTCATTTATGCCATTTCAATTGCAATGCAAAGAATGGTAATGGTTCATTTTCTTCTGTTGCACTTTACTTAAATGCATACACCAAATGAATTTTAAAAAATAATAATATATGATGAAGTAAACACTATACACAAAGCGTGCGCTCGTTTTATTGACCTTCAACTTAAACTCGAAACCGACACTGTCGACGACACAATGAAATGAATTCGATTGCACAAATTGATATTGTTTTGGATTTTAACACAATTTCACTTTGTTCGCTATTTCAATTTGGGTGTTGGTAATTTTTCAAGTGCTTTTCTCTAACTATAATCGCAACAGGGACCTTGTTGAGGAGAGCCACCAAACATGCCTGCGGTCATAGTGAAACTATTTCTTCAACTGAACCGATTATTTCAACAAAATTTGACTTCTTGTACGAACAAACACACACTCATATATTCAATTGGTATTTTGGTATTGCTTCTCAGCAAAAGCAAACACGAATAGGTCAATTACAATGGTATGAGAGCAAGAGCGCACGATAGTCATGTATTGTAAATGGTATACACCACGAAAGAAAATGCCAATGAAAATAAGTTCAAGTGAATGGAGACGCAGAAAGAGTGAGAGAGAGAGAAAGAGATACTACAGAAAACGAAATGAATTCAACATTCGAAACGATACAAAGAGTGAAGGTGGCGTAAGACGAATACAATATAATAAATATATCTAAAGGTTCAATGTATTCACAGCGAGAGAGCTCCTCGAGTATCTAAAAAATATGATTTTCACCTATATGCACAAGCATAGAAACGAAAGTATTATATGTGTAAAAAATTGCGACGGAGAAATACCGTGTGGCATATATCTTTTTTCATATGCATTCATTGGTTCAATTTTCACGTTCGTCGAACATGACATTTGACTAGAGAATGGTCTGGGGTGGTTATACCCGTTCTAGTTCTTTTTACATAGCTGTTTGGACAACAACTTGAAATCGATCCATTTTTCTCAAAATAAAGTACACCACAGAAAATCGATGTTTTTCTGTCTTTTGTCTTCTTTTTCCAAACATACCATATTCCATGTGATGTGTCTACATGTTTTAAAAAAAACACGTAACAAATTTACACCACAAATATACTAATTAACCAGTACGACCTACCCACAAGTAAATAATTCACGTGAAAACGCTATCGTAATGGGTTGTATTGAAGATGTTTTCATTTTGTTCAAATAGAAAAACGGTGTTCAAAATACGATTTTCATCATCGAATCAAACATCTACATCTACGAAATATTATCGTGCGCAAATTATCGCTTATCGCCGATGGCAACCATTAAAGTCATCATTAATTTCAATTTTATCGAATAAATAAGTCTACCGAAATTCGTATATCGAAACGAAATCGGGAAAGAATATTACAGAACCGAATAGCACAGACGATTATAATGTCGAACATAATTGTGAAGGAATGTGTATGCAATTTCAATTATAATGTCAAAAATGTCCATAGAACTAAGCGTCGCAAAACAAATTCTTATTGTTATTATTTAGATGTTCGCTCTCGCATCATTTATGAAGTCTTTTCTATTTTTAACCAAAATGTATAAACATCGTTTCAGACGAACGTATTTATTCCAACAAAATATGCTAACCAATTGCCAATATAGTACATAGTAATTGAAATTAGATGAACCAGCAGTGCTGACCTGCACAATGATATCAAATTCAAATGTTATAATCAATACAGTTCCAAGTGTACACATGATCAAACGGCCGGCATTACATTTTTATTATCAAACCAATTGTTGTTAAATTGTTCAAAATAAAAAGGCATTGTTAATGATTTATCTCAAACACAACAACGGTATATAAATATTTTACAAATTTATTATCGTCTCATGTGATCGTCAACAATAATCGCAATTTGGTTTGATGAGTGTTTGCTTTCCAGTTGCTTTTGGTGTTAAATAGTATCATAAAAAATCAATTGATAAATATTTATGTGAGATTCGGTTGATTGTGTATCATTGATTCAAGTCACTTGATTCAATTAAATATCACGCGCGCTTTAAGATCGGAATTTTTGCTGTTGTTGTTGTTGTTTTTCAAGATTCCGTCAGCAAAAAAGGTCAAAACCATATCAGCGGAAGTTTCTCGGTAAAAAACTAATTTGTATATACTTTTTATGGCATTTTTTCAAACATATAGAATATTACTATTATCAATCTTTTCGAAATGATGGCGTAAAATAATGACGACTGTTTTGATATCGAATTTTGATAGGAGAAGCTGAATGAAAAAAGTTCCAAACTAATGTTACATCGTTTTGCGGATGTTATGAAAGCTTAAAATGCAAGTGTCGCAGGGGAAAACGGAACAAGTAATCAGGTCACAAAAACTATGATTTTCGTTTTGCTTCACTCAATTCAAACGGTGATGTTCAGATAAAGTTGTTTATGGAAATGGCATTAGTTTTCCACACATACATTTCTATTTTATAATGAGCTGTCATTTTTCTTTGCCATATCATGAAGTTAGCAAATGCACCGGACCCAAATGAATAATAAGTTTTGCAAATTACTTTTTTTTATGAATGTGTTTAATGGAAAAAACATATGACTGTTGTTTGTTTTAAAATAATGTGAAATAAACACCCATAAATCGGACAATATTATCATGTTCCCGATGATCTCTAATCAGTCGAACGAAGAAAAAAAGAATATTTAATGTGATAATGATGCGGCATAATAGCCGATGTAATCGACCCCCTTGTGTGCGAATAACGTGTTTTGAGTGAAAGAAGGCAAAATAAAATATGATTTAATAACAATAATAATAAGTGTGATAAGTGACAGAAAAAAAAGGTACGAAAACAAAAAATAAAGCAACAAATCGCAGCAACAATCTGAATTGTTGTGCCTTGCTTTCAACTTTTCTTTTCTGTTCTCTGTCGCTTACTCAAAGTGAGGCAACACATGTTAGACAATGTGACGTAGACGTTTAGTTGAAATCGGTGACAATTCTCACTAATCAAAAATGAGTTCATGATGTTATTTTTGCAAATAGAAATGCTCGATCACTAGTGCAACACCAACTGTGTGATGACAACAAAACAAAAATAAGTCGTTGTTGGGATGTCGATCTAAAATGGCATCATCAGCGCACATTTTTTCGCATCTCATAAAATTTACTTTTATTATTTATGGGATTTTAATACTGATTAGACTGGTAGTCGTTAATCTGGTCTAATCAGTTGCAATTCAGGTTATGATCATGTGTACGTGACTTCTTTTATCCATCGAGCAAGTTCCACATTGTTTATACTATATCTCCTAAGTTTAAACGAATTGATGTAAATAATAATAGATATTCTCATCAAATGGCATATTCCGTATTTTTTCGACGCAAAACTAATAAATAAATTTAAATAATCAATAATAAATATGCTAGGAGATTTTTCGTTTAGGCTTTAGGTTTTCTTTGTTATTCATTGTTTGTGTTGTTTGCCGTTGATTTCATTATCTTCTTTTGAATTCGATTGTTACGTCAAACGAATTGTCGAGAATAACATGTCAAACAAGACATTCTCGGAGAATATTTTTATAATATTTATGCGTTTTGTCGAGAGTGTGGCGATAATAAACAAAATTCAAAAGTGCTTTGTTTATTAAACTTCGTCGCAATTTATCATTTCGAAAAAAAACAGAAGTAATTAAATAAAAACATACTCATGCAGTAGGAATTTATACTTTTGAGTTCAATAAAATTATTGATGAAAATGACACATTGATAGGTCCTCTATAATAATTGAATTTAAAGCCACTCAATATACTTCCGTTTTCGATTTAATGGCATACTTCAAATGAAAAATCAATCGTTCTTTTCTCGTTTGAATCAACAATCGTGCCTTTTGTAGACACGAGAACCTATTTAACCCACTTCTCTTCACTGATAATTAATAGAATTTAGAGATTATCAAAATTGGCGTTAATTTCAATATAAGTGTGTTTCTGACGCAAATTTTGCAGTCATTTCAAATGCACTAAATGATCGTGGGTTAATCATTTTATTATTTTTCGGTACAATGCACGCACCGAAAGTTCACAAGATTATTGTGCTGCCCCATTATCATGACTTCAATGATAATTCGAACGGTTGTTGTTGTTGTTTTTTTTTGTCAATTGAAATGAACTAGATTGTTGGTTTTTATTGTCGTTTGCACTTCCAATAGATTATTAGTCTATTTATGGGTTTCTGCATGATTGACACAATATTCAAAAATCAAAATGCAATCGCAGAACAAAGTTCAAACAAAATACAATTACCATAAAGAGAATGAAGTGAAATAAAAGTATTGCCATTGTTGGCGTATTATAAATAACTTACAAAATGTTTCGCGAAATTTTTTGAACAGCCGACTAAAACTGACACACGTTGGTGTTTTATTTGTATCTCTTCGTATTAGAAAATTATCATCAAACGAAGCGCCTAAACTTCGCGCTTTTAATTCTTCTTTAAGTGTGGATTTTTTGCGAGTGTTACGTCGCTTTTCACGAACAACTGGACTACCGTCCTCGTTAATATAGCATTGTATTTCCTGAAAACCATCATCACGATTTATGAGTTTGGGATCCAGTTCGAAATTGTCGTCAATACTGTTAATGGTTGTGTTACGTTGATTTTTTATCAACGGTTTTTTTACTCTTTGCGTTGGTTCAGCTGCGGTTGCTGTTTCCGATATCAATGGCAATATTTTGTCATCTTTTTCGGTATTATCAATGTCTTTGTTTGGTTCATCATCTGATGCACTGTCTGTTTCATTATTGTTAATTATTGTATTTTTGACAATGGGTCGTGTGTGAATGGATGTATATTTTGGTCCACTTTTTGCAATGTGTGCCATGCTATCAACTGAACCACTGTACAAATCCGGGCCATAGCTACCGAAACCACTGTCGGTGGATATTAGACGATTTTTCTTTTTCAATAAAATTGGAATCATATTTTCACTGCGAGCATGACAGATCGTTGTTGATTCAACGTTTTCGGTGATTTTTTCCAAATTCAAATTTGATGACGCACGTTGTGCACCAAAATTTGTTTCATGTGAGTCATCTTCGATGGCTTCGACGGTAATTTTTAAACTATTTGTTGATTGACACAATCCATCGTCCTCGAAAATTTCTATCTCACCCGCTACATAATCAACACTCGCAATATCCTTCATTTTTATTTCTTCAAATTATCTTTTTTTTTTTTTTAACGTAAATTAACTTAATTTCGTTTTTTTTAAGTCTTTTCTTTCGTTTTTTGTCTATCCCGAAGTACACCACTTGAAATTTTCTTTTAACTAAAAAGATGAATTGAAAAGAAAATTGTTTAGAATTCAATTTGTCAATGTTGAGAAGGGATTCAGAAGCTTTGTTCTACAGCAATTCGCTCGCAATTAAAAACAGTTTCAATGAAAGGCATTCACTTTTTGGTGTCACATTCACGCAGAGAGGAAGAGAGATAGAGAATGACATAGACGCTGTCGTGTGCCCGATCCGATGCACAGTAGTGCATTGACAATCAAATAAATTTAAGTGAATTTTTCCATAAGCAAATTTAGTGGCGCACACATTGGCAGCTATCCAACACATTGAACGTTTTGATTCAATTTTTGAGCCTTTCTTTTCAACTACATTTTTGTTGTTGCCGCATCTAAATTCAATTGCAGTTTGAAGTAGTGCAGTATATTCAACTATTAGAATATTTGTTTGAGCACATCAGCTAAAAAGTAGGTTTTATATATTGTGTATGCATCGTAACAAAGAGACTGATTTTTTAAGTTTAAAATCTTTCTTCGGTATGTAGTACAAACGAGACGTCAACGACTTATTATAATGTTCAAAAATAAATTTGCAATAGGTGCGGTGTACAGTGCATAGAAACTCAATTTAAATATTTTTATCTTTTAACTTTGCACGTTTCCTCTTTATCATCATTTTCTTCTGAATATGAACAAACATGTTGCCCATATTGAAATAACACCAAATGAGCACTTGGCAATGGTATTTACGACTATTTTTTTCTGCTTCTTTCTTTCAACACAAACAAAAAAAAACGTTAAATCAAGTGGAAAGTCGTGGAAAATTCCACTCGAAATATTATGTGCTATGCGTACAGTTTTAAATATAGATTGTTTTCCATGAGGAAATAGGCGACGCTGAAAAATGTTTGTAGGATTTTCGACCGTTATTAAAATATCTGGCTGCACATTAAGGCGAATGACAGAAGAAGAAGAACGAGAAGCGAATAGAGAAGAAGATAAAAAAAAATTTGCACTAAGCTATATTTGCCATGAAAATCTGACGACCAAGACTCGATTTGAAAGAGTTGCTTTCAGCATATACGAGTGCAAACATAAAAATAAACTCTCTCGCACATGCTTTGCGTTCGCACTAGCTCGCGTCAGCATAAAAAAAATATATATGGTGTTTTATATGCGTATGCGTAGTGCCAATCTTCTTTCCACGACGTGGTACACACCTTCGTTACTATTTTTAGTACATTTTCTAGCCATTATCGTGTTCAATTTCAATGAAATATAATTTTAAAAATATCTCACATATATCAATCGGGAGCAGCGCCACTACTCTACTCTGAATTGAGCGCGCATACATTTCTTTCGATCTAATCGACTTTCATATGGGCATTCTGCGATTAATTATAACACATCGACTCAATTTAATTGATCGTTTAACGATGAATGAGTTTATAAACAAATCAAAAAACAAAATAGAAAACAAAACCGATAGAGAACTCCGTAAGTGGTGTTTGTTTTCCATTGGAATTATTAAACGAGAATGTGTCACAAACACACACGTACTGAATAAAAGTGACATTTGTGTTTTGCTTTGGCATAATGATTTGGAGTTTTTGCAAAACTTGAGAATGCTCTTTAACACGCAATCAAACCACCATCCAAATAAAGGAGTTTTTGCACGCATGGGAAACCCAATGCTGCTCTCTAATTCAATGATTACATTTGCCATTTGAATGTTTGAGATTTGGGATGCATGAAGAAACTCAATTTCTAAAAATAGCACCATTCATTTCTAATCAATTCATGAGAAACAAACCAATTTTCACATTCGATTTCGAATTATGAAACACTTGACTGAATGGATTTCGATTCCAATATAACGAATTGAAAATTGCGTTGCAATAAATTTGGAACGAGTCTTAAAATAGAATACACATTCGCTGGATGGACGGATGAAAATCGCGCGAAATTGCGCAAAATTGCGCAGGTTTTTAGATAAGCAGAAATAGTGTAATCGTGCATATTCAATCGAACCGGTTTTATGAAAAGAAGTTTGCTACAAGTTAATGTCATAGACAGTACAAATTCCATCACAACATCTAATACCAAAACATGATTAAGAATTTATTTACAATGTTATTTGTTTCCCCGTTAAAAAACAAAACAAAAGACAGACACATTTATTGAAGAAATGAAAGAGGAGACAAAGAAAGATAAGGATATAAAAATTGAAATGGTTTTGTGAGTGAGATTTGTTTTCACGTGGTTTCAAGTAAATGATGAATGCTTCTATTATCATTTATCCAATGATAATTTGTTGCGTGAAATTGACGTTAATTGGAGCAAATATGACACCCGTGTCAGTCCTTTAACCATATCATATATAATCATAGTAATTGAACAATAAATTTTATCACCAACGTCATTGTATTGTCTCTTTGTTACATTCGGATTGTGCACAATAATTTTCACATGAGCTTATACAGAAGAATAAAAAAGATAACAAAACATTTGTACGCATTTTGCTTTCCGATGTGCGGGGCACATGGAAACAGTATATTACGTACATATATAGTTGAATCATATTATTAATTAAGCACTTGAACGATAACGTTCTTCTATCTGGTAATTTACTTTTTTCGGGGTCTTTACTTTAATGTCGCTAGCAATAAAAATATTGTACAAAAATTCAAGGATAATGTATAGCATCTATTTTAAAAATGCTTAATCAAATGTCTCTCCTTTCATCATTTTGTATTGATAAGACAACTAAATTTCCAAAAAAAAAAAAATCGTTTTGGAATTGACCCTTTTTCAATTTTTTTTTTTTTATTTCTTTTAATTAATTTTCAAATCGAGTCACGACAAAAATCAGTCATCAAAAAATCGTAAACTTGTTCAAGGCTCGCACGATTTATATGATAAGCATTACGATCACTTCACTTCTATCGAAATCTATTTCGATCAAACAAACATTTCTCTATACGATTGAAAACGTTTAAAATGCCGCATTAAACTAGCTTCGGTGGCAGCTGCAGCAAACAATGGAAGTGGCAACAATAGCATCGTTCGGTCTGTCGTTGTGCAGAGATCTTTGAAAGCGACCAGTAAAATGATATTTGGTCATTGAGACAAATATGTAGCCAAAATACGAATATGAAGAAGAAGATAAAGAAAACAACGAAGCAAAAAAAAATGCGATGGAAAAGGCAAATACAAAACCGAAAACAAAAGTAACAGAAATACTGTAAAAAGAAGCAAGTTCACGTGATAACATGAATGTGCAAGTTGTTATCGATATATAGACTTGGTATCAGCCGTATTGCCGGTTCCGATAATGTATTGAGCGAGAAAAAAACACACACAAACCACTGTATCGATTATATTATTCACATATAATGGAATGTAAGTGAGAGGTTGAACAGGTTTTATATTTCGTTTCTATTTGCTTAAGAGAAAAAAAGGGAGATGAAGTATGAATTGTACGTGCTTCCAAAGAAGCGCAGTTTCTTCTTTTAAAAAAGTTTTTTCTTTCTCGCTTTTGTTGCTGCCAAGTCTGTTTTTTTTTTGTCGTTGTTTTCCGTTGAATTGGCGATATGTAATACGTGTTGGTTTTTCTCTTCTCTAAACAAAGTGGCGATGACACGATTGAATAATTGAACGCTTCCAGGTTCTTATTTTGTTGTTTTGGAAAATGTTCATTCATAATTTTGATTTGATATCGCATGAGTTCATCGATTGTTGAACTTGCGTCATACATTTGAGGCGACAATTCATTCTCAAAAATTCGGCCAAACTCTGTGTATGCGTCACAAAATGTATGTATACGCATTGTGGTGACAGAAGCGGGAAACCGAAAAAATTGTCAAACATTTATAGGACAGTTTTTGAATGGAATGCGTTACGTGCTTTCTTTCACACAGTTCTTTTTTTTTCTTTTTCGTTTCTCTCCCTAAATCACAACAGTCACACTCTAACTAGATCGCACAAGATCCGTGCTGATGTTGTTTCAATTTGCTTGAATTGTATGTAGAAGAAAGCTTCTGATATTGTTTCACATTGCATATTTATTTATTTATATTCAAAGACGTCAACAATAGATCATTTACATTTTGTGAAATTTGTTTCGCCTTGCTGCAAATTGACACATTTTATCACGAATTGCTTATTTTTTTACTCTTTTCTTTTATTCCCTCTTTTTGATATCGACTAGTTTTTTATTTCAATAAACACTTTTATTGCATCACTTGTTTTATTTTATTATTTGTCTCTACTTGAAAAATGTTTTCTTTTTCGATAAAAAAAAATATTGTATTGTTTCATGTCACACACATTAAAAAAAAATTACATGGAACACTGTTACAAAATCCAGTGAATCACGATGAATGAAATTTTTTGCTGTCGGTTTTGCGTTTTTAAGCAGTCGAACACGAATTTCGTTGAGTAGTTACACATTGAACAGCTCAGACATAAATAACACACTCGGTTGCGCTAATCGTTCGAGACGCGCACCAGAACCACACAGAATACGAAATACGACAGTAATTTGCCATACATACATGCAATGTGCGAACATTGATCGTACATATTTCAAAATTAGAGAGTGTGTGTGTGAGAGAGTGAGAGTGTATGTATGTGTATGTGTGTGTATTTGTTTGAATAAAATTGATGTTAGTGTTTGTTGTCATCGTCTTATGTGCGATGTGTGTGTTTGTGTTGGTTTTCTTTCGTTTTAAAACGACACATAACCAAACGCACCTACAGTCAAACGTTTGAATTTATTTCGCAGCTTTACGCTGTTGATAGCTGATCGATCGCGGAATATTAGCATTACGCGCTCGCTCCATTTGAACGATCTTGCTTCATATACTACATGCATGTCGAGACCGAATCCAAAAATAGCGAAAGAGAAACAAAAATTGCATATACATGTGAAATGCTTAGATTAACTCCACTGTTCAGTGTTCAGCGTTGATGCATTGGGTACGAAATCGTGTTATCGTTCGTATATATATACATTTTTCTTTCTCTCTTGCTCTCGCATGATTGCGCAAGTCATTGATCATCCTCTCTTTCATGCGCCTGAACATTTTGATGTCTTGATTTCTTCATGCAATATGCCCATAAATTGATAAGTTTTTCTACCTTAATGTATGCATTGCAAACTATCTTCGGCAAACAGAAAAAATACAGTTTATTGTTCGCAAATTTCCATATTGTTCATTTCAAGAGCCAATCTGTTTATAATTGCAAAACTACAAATGCGAATTCACCAAACAACTCCACTCAAGGTTTTGTGATATTAAATGATGCACATGTGCTGCTTGCGCTTTGTTGGTGTTTTAATTTTTCAATTGAGCAGCACTTGGAATTCTTATCAAGAACACTTATATTTCAGTTAATTGTAAATGCACAATAAACAAGTGGGAAAATAAATATATGAACAACGCATTTCACTTCAATGTGCGCGCGCACACACACACACAGCCAACACACAGAGGTCGACTATAAAAAGGGCGAACAACAAAATAGTAATGTGAACCGTATATATGTATAATATAGAAAATCGAATTTCGATGACAACTCTGAATAATAACAAGGTTGATTCAATTTGAAACTATATAAAAAATAAGAAGTATTTAAATTTAGAGAGAGAACAAAATGTTTACATACTTAGAGGTACCGTTGTTGACGCACCTGCAAAAATATACAAAGAAGAGAGAAAGAGCAAAGAATAAAACACAAACATCTTTTATATGTTTTGAGTCTGTTTTATCGCTGTGTCGCAATTGATTATTACATGTGATGGAAATTTTGATAATAAAATAATTCATTCGTCTAGAACCATATTCACGATGTGTCAATTCCAATGTTAAATTCCATTTTACAAGATTTGTTTTTGCTAAATCCAAATTCGGAACGTTTTATAAAAATAGGATTGACTTCGTAACCATAGTTCGATACGAAAAAAAAGAAACATTTGCTAAAGAAAACATGTTTTTTGGGTATCAACAAAATTTGGTGCAAATGGAAATGTGGCTGATGACATTTGATTATTAAATTTCATTTGCAGGTTTAAACAAAAAAAAACAATTGTCGGACGGATTTTTAAGTGCACATTTAAGGGGAAAATGCTTTTTGTGATTTCTAAATGGTGGTAATGAGATCTAAATACCTACACTTTTCAAATTCTAAAGAGACAGTAGGAGCGTAAAGTACACATAATTACTACTGATCAATTTAAATACATTAAAACATCTAGGAGAATTTTGAGAGTGAGAAAAAAGGCGAAAATATACATTTTAATTTTTTTTATTGCGTTCTTGAAAAAATTCTTGTCGCTTTTAATTGACGATCAAACATTCCAATATTCATTTTTCATCTCTTGCAAATTAGAGATGAAAAAAATAATGTTTCACATTTTACAGTGAGAAAGTGTAACGAATGATGAATAGTACTGGTGAGTTTGATAATTTCAATGAATTGCACTTTAGTATTTCTAGAGGGATCTCTAGTCATCTAGTTTTAGTTTGCTTTTTTCCCAAATAAGCTATTATTGGAATGGAATTAGTATTCGTCGTAATTTGTCCTTTTGACGTCATATTATTATTTGATACAATAAAACGATCGTCAACCCTTCTTATTTAATTATCTTTTTTCGCGTATCTCTTATCGTAAAACAGCTGTAAATTTGAATGAAAATTATCTTGAAGTATGTGATTAGTAAGTCTGTTAAAAACAGCGAGAAAATAATAAAGAAAACAACACAGGTTATTTATTTCCTTTTGACGAAGCAAACGATTTCTCTCTTTCTCGCTCCTTCTCTCTCTGCCGCAAAAAAAACACAAAAATAATTTATTTTACTTTCGCAATTCAAAAACAATAATACGTTGGAATGTGAAGAACACAATGGACGAAGATAAATATTCAGTAATCGGAGCATATCAAAATCAACAGCAAAGCATTTAAATTGCAGATATTATTTCAATAAAAATTACATTGGAATGTAAATATTGATGAGCAGCACTTTTGTGTCTGTGTTTGAAGTGAAATCACAACATCATCAATGCATACACGCAACAAATATTTGTCCGATGGCTTGTTGCACCTACCATTGCGCCTCAACAAATAAACAACCGGTCATTGATATATGTCGATTTATTATTTTATTTATGAGGACAATATTTTTCGACTGTGTATGAATGCGATGGTATTAGACACGCACAGATTTTCGGTCAATCACTCTTTTTCAATCTCAATTCATCCGATTTTCGTCGCCACGTACAAAAAGATCAAGAGTTCAAATTGCTTCATATCGTGTCATGTCTGGAAATTTGCTGGAAGTAAATGAAATGAACAGTGACACACCGCACGAAGCGACTGGGGGACAGACGATGTCAAAGGCTCAACAATTTTTTTATATGTGCATTCAATGATGAAGTCCATTTACCAGCTGACATTTTATCAGTGTAATGAGAAAAGCAATTAAGGAAAGAAGAAATCTTTGTTAAATACAATGTGTCGACAAATTCATTATAGAAACCATATGAATTGCGACATCATACTGTTGTACACCGTACTAGTGCATTTTAGATTTGTATTTATATCATGTATACACACAGCTAGTTTAAGCTGTAAATTTCCATTAATTGTACAATATTAGAAGTTGGCGACAATAAAGTACATGTTTACGTATAAATATATCTTTTTCTTGATTGTATTTTTCCTATACGGATGACAACAAATAACAACAACAACAGTAGCAATAATAATTTATAATGTCGTTGTCGAACTGGAGCCATCACATCTAATCGACAAAGAAATACACATGACAAGCAACCTCCCACGTACGTAAGTGGCGAGAAAATTAGTCTCCAGTTTGTTTTTTTGCGAAGGACTTTATCTTGTCTTCTTCTTTGAAATATGATCATAACGTGCGTTAAACAAGATGACGCCAAAATAAAATGATAGGCAGATAGGAATGTTGACCGAATTAATTGCGAGTTGAGCGCGTTCTTGAGTTTATTGGTTCATGTTCAGCACATATACGCTCATGCTTTCATTTGTTGAACTTTTATTGAACATTTGCCAGTGCATGAAATGTATATATTTATTGAAAGCGTGACAATAAAAATTACTCGCTTCCGGTTGGATCCCTTTCATTAAATATCAAGTCAATATTTCCCTTCAATTCAGTTAGTTTTTCCTCTGTTCTTTTTTTTTATTGAATCCATTCACTGTAATTGGCCACACACACAAAAAAAAACACGAAAACGACACAAAAATTAAATAAACATAAAGTATGGCTCACTTATTTCAGATTCGATAAGTGTGTCTCGTTGACAATTGACCGCATCTATAATCGGATTTAACACAGATAAATCGATAAAGTTCACATATTCTTCATAAATATTTGTTAAGTTGGTTGCGCTTGTTGAGCGTATAGTGGTGATTGCGGGCGGCGCTAGACCACTTGTTAATTTGTTATTTGTTTGGGAAATAGTGTCATTTGTCGTTATTTCGATAATTTCATTGATACTATCACTTGACATTTGATCTTCATCACCATTCTCATTTGTTTGATTCATATCGCGAATACGATTTAAAAATGGCAGTATTTGCTCGGCACTTGTTACAATCCGCAACTCCTTATTCGATTGTACTTTCGATGAATTATTGTTCATTGTGTACGTGAAGGGGGTGAGTGAAAATTCAAAGCGAAAAATAAAAAAATGCCCAAAAAACACACTTAAAACTTAATTTCGTACACTGTTTTTTGAACACTAACGCGAATGATCATCAGAAAATGACTTAATCCGAATCAATCGTAATGAATTACTGAAATGATGCTTCACAAAATCGAATCGAGCGAATGACAATTTCGTTCGATTCGTTTCAAGTGCAATTTGCAGTGACGAAAATACTAGCGAAAATATAATTATATAGATCTATAAACATTTCGCACATGCAAATGAAATAGAGAGAAATAAAAAAAAACTGTATCGAAGGCGGCGGCCAGTTGATGTATTGATAAGATGATCAAAATAAGTTTGCTTGACCGATATATTCAAAACACATAATACACCAATTTGTATTATACGTACACATTAAAATACAATCTATCTTTCGCTCTCCCTCTCTCTTTCTCTCACTCTATGTCATTAAATCTCATAGCCAAATATTCAATGTTGTATTTCGATCGCTTCATTTCAACTCAATTAAAAAAAAAAATCTTGCTGAGATTTACATTCTACTATCTTCGATTTGAATCATATTGTATCACATACTGGGCGAACGAGCGAGATCAAGTGTACGAGCATGCTCACGCAATAATGATTAATTAATTAATCAGCATTTAATTCAAATTATATAACTTTAATGAACGAACTCATCGTATATAAATGAGACATCTGTTATTTCTTTCATTAAAAAGTGCACAACGAGAGCGGATGAGAGAGA